TGTTGTGTACAATTTAAAGATGAGTTGACTGCTCTTTAACATGTTTTTATCAAGCATACTTTGCCATGTACCTGTATATGCTGATAATATGATTCCATAACTCAGGAGACACAATGAAATTACATATAACTACAGCGGATAAATCCAGGCACTGCTCAGGAAGAAGGTCAGAAGCTTGAATTTCTTTTTGCGAGAACTAATTGTAAGATGTAAGAAAGATGTAGGAAATGTTTCTTTCAAAAACGTTATAAAAATCTCACTGACTGCAAAAATTTGAACAATACTGTATCTGCAATTCTGCATACAGAATTGTAATCGGTCTTTTTTTCTTGCATCTGTTTGATGAGTTATAGCCACTTTGACACTATTTCTTTACATATTAATGCTTATATACAGCTGACAGAACACAAGGCACACACTGAGTGTCTTGACAACAGCATCTCATTTACACAGAACCAAAGTCTTGACTAAAACTTAAACTCACCTTTAGGTTTAACATTATTTTTGCTGGATTGTAATAATCATATTTTTTAGCTACACATAAAAGATTTAAATCTCTAAATCTTAAATCTCTAAATTTAAATCATAAAAGGGTGTGGCAAATCATATATTAGTCACAATGGCATCATGTGTTTCTGCTTGTAGTTGTTGTGTGTGCTAATATGTGAATGCATATTTTGTTTTGTGTGTAAATATGTCTATTTTCAAGGATTATGGCATAACCATTATGACACATTCTTAATTTCCTTTCCCCTCACTGCACCAATTACATCTGCATTTATCCCTCAGCTCTGTCTCTCTCCATTTCTCTCTCTCTTTCTCGCTCTCTTTCCTTTAAATTATAACTAGTGTGTGCAGCTGACTGCAGAATTGATGCAGCTGAGAGAAAGGAGGCGAAGACTAGAAATAAAAAGAGAGCAATGGAAAAGAAAGTCATTCGTGGATGAGAAAAGAACAACAAGGGAGAACGATAGCACTACAAGGTTGACGGAAGGCAGTGGATGGGAAAGAAAACAGAATTAAAAAGAATGATAGGTAGGCAAAGAGATAGAAGTTATGGTGTAAGAAGAGAGAGAGGCATCGACAGAAGGTTAACCAATCAGAGAGCCACTGACGAGAGAGAGAGAGAGAGAGAGAGAACTGATCAAAACCACGGAAGGCTGCTTCTAGGCAACAAAGGACTGAAAACGTAAAACACGGATGTATGTATGGAACGAAAAGGGGTGTCTGCTGAAAGAGAGAGCCGGGGAACGAATGAGGAAGAGGGGAACAAATGAAAAAGAGTAGGAATCAGCAGAAGAGGCTTTTGCGGTCCCAAAGCGGAGGGGGAGGAGGAGGGCAAGAGAGAGGCAGGTTGGGGATGGGAAGGCAGGATCAATAACTAATTTCAGTGGCGAGCCTCAGTCGGACTGTTTTCCAATAAGCCCTGGACATAACGAGTTAGCTTGAATAGCTGTGCTGCTGCTATTGCTGCTCTCTCTCTCTCTCTCTCTCTCTCTCTTCATCCATCCCCCTCTCGCTCTACCCGCCTCATGTCTCTCAGGGCCCTGGTGCTAGCGAAGGCTGGATCGATCCTCTGCACGCACACAAACACACACATACTTAGACACACAGGCCTGAGTTCTGCAACAGGATCTCAAGACATGTCACTGCTACTGCTGCAACCTTGCATGCTGTTTGAATGCGTGTGTGATTGTGCGTTATAATTATTTCCATCATTATGAATCGTCTCATATGCAAGTAGGTCAGCAGATTTCCATGATAAAAAAAATAAATGTTTAAGATTTTATCTGGAAAAAACAACAACTTGTCAGCAATGAAGCAAATCTTCTTTGCATGTGCAGCTTGTGAAGGACAGTAGCCTATGCAGTCAGAGATAATTCATATCCATATATTTATAACAAATCAAAAATCAGTTTCTTCAAAATTGAATCTTTTAAATAAATAAATAAAAATGCAAGTAGAGCATTTTTACTGGTGCTCAAGTTCTAGTTAAATACTTCTGTGCCCCAGTTAAATATTACTAATGATAAATGCTTGTTTGACAATGACCCACCTGAGAATTTTTTTTTCCTAATAATATTTCCGCAATCATGTCACGTGTGTGTTTTCTTATCAGCTGTTTCGAATCGGAACTAGAATCACTCTATTGAACGAATGGGTTCGGAAATTGTTTCCAATTCAGTTTGATTCCTTCAGAACCGTGTGCAGTGGTTCTCACACCCGTAACTGGATTTATTTATAAGACAGAAAACAAAAAGAGCACTGGATGACGTGGATATTAACCTACAATGTTGAAAAAACAAAACATGGAATTGTCTTCTATCGCTTGTTAGCGATGAAGCAGCTCGTTATTGTGCAAGCAGACTGTAAAAGACTCTATACTGCAAGTAAAGACAATTTATGTATACCGGTACATTCATAACAGTATTTTAAAAAAGAGTATAAAAATATGGTGACACTTTTTTTGCCTCAGTCCTGATGACACTAGAGACACTCCTGGTCCGAACTGAAAGTGATTGCAAACAAATCCTGGGTGTTATGAAATAAATAAGACAATAAACAGACAACATGTCCTTATATTGTGTTATTACTGCTTGCCCACGGCAACAAACACTGCAGCCAGTTTGATCCCATGAGTTATCAGTTTAATTCAGTCTAATCTCTCACTGAATCAGTCAAAATGGTTGTTGATTTACTCCCTGAGCAATTTCATCATGTCCGACTCAAAATGTGTTTACAAGTTCAATTGTTTGTTGTCCTAGAACTGCACACTCTTTGTGTAATTGTTCTTGTGTGTGTGTTTGCAAATATGAGTGTAAAGGTGCTTTTGCAATGGAAAATAAAACAAAATGAGTATCCATGAGCACAACAGTTACTTATGTCATTTTCAACACATAATCTTTTGCCATTACCAATGCCATCAGTTTCTTCAAACTTGTTCCTTAAATAAATACAAACGCATTGTTTATGGCATTTACATGTGAACTTACAATTAAAGACAGTTTCATTCAATCATTTCTAAAACAAAATATGACAACATAAACAATGAAATGTAATTCCACATATCACTCTTGTGTGACGCTGTCCAAATATGATCTGCAGTGCTTTTTTCACCTTTGATGGCTGACAGAAAATTCAGGTTTACAGTGACAGCAAAACACTTCACTTGCATCATTGAAAGCGCATTTTCGTTTGGGCATTTCTCCAGCTTAGCTAGCGAGCTAAATTGAGAAACTGGTTGCGTGAAGACGATGGCAGCAGCTAGTGTGTAAAGTTATTGTTATGGCTGATAAATTCTAGAATGAAAGTATCAGCAAATCAACTTGCAATGGCAAAGAAACAGCCAGGGATAACCACAAACTATACCAGAGATGGTAGGAGGACATTGAAGATCATTTTAATGTGTCTTAGCAGTTGAAACCAGGTCACATTAACATTTTTAAAGAATTGTCACACCTTTTTCCCATAGGCGTATGGGGAGAAATTGATCATGATTTTAATAAAAAGTTAGCACTATAAACACATGTCTTTCCTAGCTGAAATAAGAATAAAGGGTTGGTCAGACACTGGATCACAAAATAGTTGTTTGTTTGTCTTGTATCACTAAAGTTACAGGACATAATACAGTTTGCTGAATAAATGCAGAATGATGGAGATGAAATGGCAGTGGTTAATGCTTTAAACTTTTGATTATGCTTTGATTATGCTGTTTCATACAGTAGCCTAAGTAAGTTTACTAATTTTGTGGATAGCCTATATACACCACCATTCAAAGGTTTGGTGTTTTCTGATGTTTCTTAAACACCAAATCAGATCATATTAGAATGATTTCTGAAGGATCATGTAACACATGTAACACACAATTCAGCTTTACCATCAAGGGAATAAATTACAGTTATTGCTGTTTTATCAAATAAATGCAGCCTTGGTGAGCAAAAGAGTCTTTTTTCAAAACGTAAAAAAATTATCTTATTCACAATCATAAAATTAAGTCCTTTTTAATGGTGGGGTCGATGTCTTTTATTCTTCCTACATACAGTTTGGCCATACTACCACTAGATGGTGCTACTCTACACTATAGGCTTACAGTGGTCATTGAAACCGATTCACATCATCAATGCAAAGAGAAAATATACTTGGTTATGAAAAAAAACACCACTTCTGCTGTACTGTCACAAGAATTGGTCATTTACTTGATACGTACTCGTATTGTTGCATAAGTGAGAACCACAATTCACAAATTACGTTAAAGAAACAGTTTCATTAAACATTTGAGCTTTAAATCCCCCAAAACATTCACATGTAGGCTATACCTAGTCTTGCTTGCTTCACATGATTCGACATAGAAATGGTTTAATAACAATAGTCTGGTTACACTGGAAAACAGGGTTCCATCCTATTTTCTTTTTATTCACCACGTTCCCCTCCCTTTCTTCTTCACTCTTTTATACTCTTTTAGTCTCTCACTTTCTTTCTCTCCCTCTCTTCCCTTCTCTCTGTACTGCTTGCATGGTTACAGCTGCACTGGTGATAGGGAGCTTACTTGTGTGAAATATTAATAAGAAAATGGCTTATGCATTTTTAACTATGAGCCAGGCAGACGTAGTCTCGCAGAGGAATAGGAGTGTAAATTCTCTTCCAGACCAGGTGTGGAGCTCCTGTTCAACTAACTAGTTTAGTAACTCATAACCTGGATGAATTGTCTTACACAGTACATCTTTAATGATATATTATGTCTTAAGTTCAGAACATTATATTCATGTGAGTTCAATACTAGCCTTATATATGATTATAGTTATGAATCTTAAATGTCCCCAAATGGAAGCTTTTGTCAGATTTAGCTCACTTGTAGGGGTTTGTCCCCATATCATAGATAAGTAAAGCAACCCACACAAGACACTTTTATCCTCTCAGTAACCTTTTAGCATTCTCTCTCTCTCTCTCTCTCTCTCTCTCTCTCTCTCTCTCTCTCTCTCTCTCTCTCTCTCTGTTTCTAGGTCAGGGGAGGCAGTAGTGAGCGTGTGCTCTGCACCGCTGTCCACTTCAATCTACCCAGCCACGGCTGATCTCAGAAATATATATACAGAGAGAGTTGTTGGCGGTGATGGGGGTGTCAGAGGCTCACATGGGGGAAAACAGAGACAGAGAGGAAAAATTCAGAGGAGAAAAGGCAGAAAGAGAGAAGGAAGTTAGTATGGCAAGCATAGCATGGACTTTGGGCGTGGGTTGTGTAACATTCTATCCTGTTTTGTTCCATAAACGCACACGCAACATTCCAGCACACTCACACTCGCACAGCCTCTGTTCTCAACAATATGCAAGGCACTGCTGCACTGTGAAACCAGAAACCACATCAGACCTCGGACCTTCAAAGACAGAACTAATCCCGCTCTCACCCAAACCTGATTGTAATTCAGTCATTACGCATTCAGCTCGACGCACTGCAGAGCTCTGGCTTCGATTAAGAGCCTGGTGTTGACTGCTTGAAGTTTGCTGCTGATATACTGCTGCATTTTACTATAATGATGCACCTATATATAAAATTACACAAATACTAATAGTATATAAATAATACTAAAATACCACCGCTTTTATTTGAACATTTTATTTACAAACATTATTACATGAATCATATAATAATAGCTATCATCTGTCTGTTTAGTTCATGGATTCCATCCGAATCAAACCCATATTATTAATATACTATATTTTTTTATATTTTTATTATTATTAATATAATTTTAAAAAATAAAATGTGTTTACAATGTATTAGTGTTATTTAAGTACTATATATTATTGTAGTGTTTATTAAGATTTTGATTTTATTATCAGATCTATAATCTTTTAGCTTTATTTTATTTTTGTTTTAGTAAGTTAGTTTTTAAGTTATAATATAATATGAACATTAGACATGAATTCATACATTTTGAATGCAGTCATTCAGAAATATTTTATATAATATATGCCATGAATGATCAGAATGAAGTATTCCAGACAGCTGTGTATATAATAGCTACCTCCTGATGGTTACTTCCAAACAAACATAATACTGAAATCATACAGGGACATTCAGTACATGCTAATTTAAAGGTAAACAAACACACATTCACACCTATACATATACAGATTTGCATAAACTTTACACTCTTCAGGGGTATGTCTGAAAACAAGCTTGTCTTATTGTTTTCTTCTTTTTCAGGAGAGACCTCGGTCCAGCTCCTCTTTTCATCTGTGTATTTGGCCTTGTTTTTTCTGTCATAATACAGGTGCTCCCATCCAAACTACCATGATGTAATCCGACTGTAATCCCAAACATCAAAGAACCACATGTGTCACATACACACACCCTTCAAAGTCTTTTGCAATGTTTGTTTGGCTAAAATGTGCTTCTGATTTATTTTTGAGGTAAAATGTCATTAGTTTTTAAACACTGTTAGTGATTTTTAACATTTGTTAGTTAGTTAGTTGTTTGTTTTTGCCTTTTGGCTCTGACAGACATTCAGGCCATATGGTTCCGCTTGAATAAGGCATGAAACCTCCTGACCCTTCTGTGTGTAGAAACACAAACATTTGCTTACACATATGCACAAGCACAACCATATGAATGTGTAGCAAATGGCAGACAGGACTGCAACTGTCTGTCTCATATTTATCTGTAATTAAGTACATAAACGGACAAATTCAACAAGCAGACACATCCGCTCACAACCTTGTATCATGTTAACAATGCTATCATATGTACACATTATAGTTCATTATTATAGAAAATCTTTGTTATTGTATTTTAGCATGCATTGTACATTTATATATAATTATATAAAAATAGACATTTGCTGAATAAAATGGCTTTAAGCTATACAGCTGTGCATTATAAAGTTATATAGATATGTTATTTTATTTTATATTAAAGTTATATGCTATTTTAACTGTCAGGTTTAGGATGAGTCCTCACGGTTATCTATAAGAACTGTGGAGTAAGTGGATAGTATTCTCACTCAGTCATAATTCCAATATCTTGAGCACAATTTCCAAGGGTACCGACAGAATATCTACTTTAAATAATATGTAAACATAATTACCTCAATTTTAATGATGGTATTGACTTGTCTTCAATAAAACATTTACATCAGGGTAGTAGGGGAAATAGGGCAACACATATCTGAAATTCCACTGTTAGCTGTTGTCACCCACTGTGATCTGAGCTCTGACCACTATGGGGCATTGTGTTTATTGCTTGAGAGAACTACAGATTCTCTGGTGACTGTCTGAGTGAATGAGAGAATGATTTTAACCTCAAGCTGCCCCACTGAGCTTGCATACAGTACAACAGTGCCATCACGTGGCTGCTGGAATTAATGCACAAGTGTTTTGAACACTCATTCAGGGGAATGTTTATATTACAGTTATCCTACACATTTGTACATTCAAATACTTATCATTGTAATAACAACTTAAGAATATTTCATTAATTTGTGCCACTTTTGTGTTCATATGAATTGTAATCACAATAATATGCCACAAACCAAGATTGTCCTACAAATGACCTAAGCAGACTTTAAAGGTAGGGCAGGCAATTTTTATATAATAAACACTTTTTGTTATTCTGGTTGAAACTCCCTTCACATCCTAATAGCAATCAATAATAAAAGTGGTCCAAATATGAATAAATGTACATATCTTCTGTGGAAGTATCAGGACCAAAAAATGCAGGTCCGAATGGAATGACATACAGTGTCCTTCCTGCCTGTCAACATATGTATTTCCATAGCACGGCGCACCTGCTCGCGCAGACATCACACACGTTATCAGCGCGTTCCATAAAGCTATGCAGAGTTGTAGACAGACAGTCACTGAGCGCCGCAAACAAACAGCAGCAGACTTTTACGGTTCCTCCTGAACCAAAACAAGCTTACAAGTTCATGCCATGGCGTAACCATAATTTAGAGACGGCAACCATGACATTCCTCCTGGAGCTGTTCATGTTTCATGCGTTTCTCTGGCAACACTATCAACGCCGAAATCAATCTGCAGCAGTCAGGTGGTACAAGTCAGTGCTCTGCAAGTTGTTTACATTCATTATTATTGTAATGTTTTGTGCTTTGAGACGTGGTAATTTTAACGGCGTCTCTCGTGCGTGTTCATGTGTTTTGAAGAAGGTGAAGGGAGCTAATTTGCTATTCCTAGCCACTCCAAAATTGCCTACTCTACCTTTAAGGAAACTTATAGGAGACGTTGTTTGGTTCATCTGCTTAACAAGTAGCACAAGATGTATCATGTAATTTTTTTGGTAGCTTATACATGTAACAATGTTCAAACAGTGGTCAGTTTAACACTCACTTTGACTGCAATTCATTACATACTGTGTTTGGTTGCAGTGTATGTGCACATGTTCATAAGTGCCCTTATACTGTCCATTTCTTTTTTCCAGGGATGCCATCTGTCCTTTTTTGCATGAATGAACTGAACTCCTTGAATGCACAAGGCTGAGTTCGCTCTGTGTAAGTACAGTAGATTTATTGATTGAAGCATGTGTCCTTGTGTCTGAGTCAGGGTCTACATGTGAATAGAATGAGATAAGAACTACTCTGTGACCTCCACCCTATATGCAAGACACACATCTCCTCACCTTTCCCTTAAAACCACCCTCCTCAGCTGAAAATCCCTCCACATCCAGGAGAAACAAAAGGATAGATGTTTCTTTTCTAAATACTTACATTGCTATTTTAATCAACATTACTAGTATTGCTGATATTGACTAGATTCTAGTACTGTTGTCAATGTTGTGTACCTGATAGCCAGTGTGTAGCAGTTTAATTTAGTTACAAGACAGCATCAAATATCTCTATAAAATAACGTAAAAATATTAGATTGGCAAACAACTAAAATAAATAAGATGAAGTACTAAAATTATTAAAACTAAATTTTAAATAACAATAAGTATAGAAATAATAGAAATAAATTAATTACAAAAAATAATACATAAATGATGTTTTATTAACAAAGTTCGGGAGAAGCACGTTCAGATAATTAAACCTAATTAAACACATGTGGAGCACATTTAGATAATCAAACCTAATTAGACACGAGTGGTGCTTAATCAACGAGTTAAGCGCTGTGTGTATATATACAGCAAACTTACCTCCGTTCATTGACAGTTTAACAGCATCCCTCCACCACCCCATCGCCTCACTTATAGTCCTAATACTCTTACAACAACGGGGGGAGTACTCTGGGTTCGGGCAAAATTCCGAGCTCGGAGCCCTCCCCCCGGACAGCACGCCAAATACGCATAATCTTTACTCTGTTTAATTGATGTAAGTGTGAACTCTTGAAATTAATAGAAACAATAAATAACAACAACATTACTAAAAACTTAAACTAAAATTTAACAGAAAATATTAAAATAAAGGCTAATTCAAATATCAACAAATACTATAAAATAAATAAATATTTCTACAGTAGCCTAACACTAATACATTAAAAATGTTTATTTTGACATTTGATTATTAATATTTAAACTCTTCAAAAAAGTCTAGAATGAGTCAAAACTAGGTAACTATATACTGTCAAACATATTTAACTGTGGAAAAGAGGTTAATCTAAAAGGAGAAACGTGAAGAGGGCACACACACACACACACACACAGAGAGAGAGAGAGAGAGAGAGAGAGAGAGAGAGAACCCATAGGCGGAGACAGGTAAGGAGAAGAGCCGGCCAGCTCTGCTGACTCAGGACATTTCAAAAATGTTGATTTCCGCTTCATTTCTCCAGCCTCTTTGTAATTCTAATGAGAATGTAAAAGGTGTCAGGAGCCAGAGAGGGAGTAGACAGAAGAAGATAGGGTGAAAGAGAGCAGATCAGATTAAATATCGACTGACTTCAGGCTGTCCGATGCAGACAGGCAGTGTACTGAGTCATCATATGTACCCTGCCAGCTCGGCTGAGAACGAGAGACAGAAAAGGATGAGCAGACAGAGTCGGGAGGGAGAAAGAGGAAGAGAGGAGTTGCCCAGGGGAGTGAGAGGAGAGCTGTGAAACATTGGGCTTGTGGGGGAGGAGAGACGAGCATAAGTAGTCGAGAGAAAGCATCCTGTCATGTAATAAGGGGAGTGAAAATAAGAGACGGGATGAGAAGAAAGAAACGGCAACAGTGGAAAACAAGAGGCTGGACAGAATATAAAATAAAGATCGTTAGGATGAACTTACAGTTCAGATAAACATTTATTAGAAAGACATGGGAAATGAAAGTGAAAGGATGTTCATAAGAGTAAACCAAATAGACAATATTAAGATGAAAATGTGATGAATAGTGAAAATAAAATACCTACTTAAAGACCAACCATAGGAAAAGAAACACTAACTCCCATTGCTCTGGTGTCAAAGAAGGGATGCAAACATGCCTAAAATATAAAAAAAAGTTGTGCTTTTAGTGTCTAGGACAAAAAACTGCTAGTGTAGTCCATACCGTTACTTACCTTTAAAGTGTATACCTCTACCTTTTTTCTATGCTGCTTTAGGGCTCTAGAAATGAAAATCATTTTATGAACCTTTTATTTTCATAATATATTCAGAATTTCTTACATTTATTGAGGGAATGCATTTAGCCTCCTCACATGCAAGGGGCCGGACCCATAGGGGCCTCAGTAAACTTGTTCAAATGATATTAACAATCAATTACTGTCCATACAATAAAATACATAGAACATAATTACAATTCTAAAAACAGTACAGAAAATAATGTCGTCGTAAAGAAAGAAAGATTAAAAACAAGCAGATTTAGCAGAATTTTAGCAGAAATACTGGAGGAAATCTTACCTTAAATCTAGGAATGACCAAGGGTGAGAACTACTCTATGCAGTCTTAACCTTGGGTAAAAACACCATTTCTCAAAACACCATTACATTTTTGACTATTTAAAATGACTGTTTTCTTAGCCATGTGAGTAGCATCTGCCTGCAGTCCCGGAGGCTGCATTTTCAGGACCCCACTTCTAGGACCGCATTTCTAGGACCCTAGGTTTTTAGTGACAACGCCACCTACCGAATTAGAGGACCAGCGAAAATGGATGACATTCAGAGTGTGAGTATCAAATGCGAATCAATTTTTATTTGTTTAACTTTAAAAACAATTGTGATGCATTTCATTGGAAAGTTAACGTTGCCAACGTGCTGGTGATTTGCTAAACAGTCTTGAATGCATAGCCATCATATACTAGCCTCTAATGCTGGAAAATGAAATACTACGGTTCATTTAACGGAGCTGTTGCATGATAGGCTAAGCCTGTGTTGACTTACTTACAGCACAATAAACTGTACCATGTTCGTTCTGAAAGCTTGTTAATTACTCATTGTTTTTCCATTTTAATTCAGTTAAAATAATCGTAATGTTTTCACTGTCACGTGCTCACAGTAAGCCTGTTAACGTTACCCACAATACATGTTATGTGTACGTCTCTTCATTTTGACATGGTTTTATAAAGTTGGTTGAGACATATGACATTTTAATAGTCAGACATATCAGAGAGGCCATTATAATAATTGACTGTTAAAATCCCACGTGTTAGATTGTGTCATTTACTGTATAGGCCTACTTATATATGGTCAGGAAAAGTCGTGTCAATAATGTTATTTCTATTCAGATTTCTTGCATCTCTCTCTATTATTTTTTTCTCAGTTCAGATGGGCTTTATTGACATGAGTGTTTCTAGAACCTTTGTTCCCACAACATCAAAATCATTTTTTTTTTCAAAATCTTTGAACAGTATGCAATAATTGTATTATGAACAGTAATTGGTATGAAGATTGATATCATTATTTTTATCATTATCATTACTCTGTGGTAACTAAGATCTTTTAAATATGAAATTTAAAATTAGAGAGTAGAACATGTTCAACTAAATGTTCCTTATTTAATTCACTTCTCTTTCTCTCTCTTAGGAGTCAGTGATGATGTTGTCCATGTGTTTGTCCATCCATTGAAGTGGTTCACGTCATGATCAAATTTGTTTTTGTGTTTGTTCAAGTTCAGTTGTTACATATTATTTTGTAAAATATTTTGTGTGTTCAATTTCAGTTGTTATATATTATTTTATAAAAGATTTTGTGTGTTCAAGTTCAAGTGTTATATATTATTTTGTAAAATACACAATCAATCTACCCCCTGAGTCATCCTTGTCTTCCCTCTGTACTTGAAAATGTGGTCCATCGAGTGACTGAAAAGGCTATAACATGATTCCTTGTTTATTTTACTTGAGTTATATTATAGTATGCTACTTAGACCCAATTTCTCAACATTCCTAGGAACCTGGTTTAATTGCAATAAAGAAAGTAGTATTTGGGTGTAATAAAACTTTTTAAAAAACTCTAATGTAGTTAAAACTGGGTGGAGATACTGCCTTGGTGGCACTTTTTTCGTTCCTCCAAAACTAGGGTCCTGGAAATGCGTTCCTGGGACTGCGGTTCTCCGACTCGGTAGGTGGCGCTGTCACAAAAAAACTAGGGTCCTAGAAATGCGGTCCTAGAAGTGGGGTCCTGAAAATGCAGCCTCCGGGACTGCAGGCAGATAATATTGAGCCATGTACGCAAGTTTACATCCGGCCACAAGATGGAGACAAAAACAAATCGCTGAGGGGAAACCACTGATCTATATAATGACATTCTACATAGATCAGTGGGGGAAACACGTTGGTCAAGTAAGGAAATGACGTACGGTGTTCAGCATTTCTGCTTTAGGGAGCTAGGAAAGCTTTCATGGGGCAGTTCTACTACAGTTGTTCAGTAGTGACATGACCGATTGTAAGAAACGACAGTCAGCGGCAGCGAGGGCACGAAAGCAAAGGTACGGTAGTGTTTACTGTCTGAATTACTGTTAAGACAGAAACAGATCAGAAAGACATGTTGGAAGCATGAATGTACATACCTGTGATTGAGAGCTGGTCGTGTCAACACGTGTAACTTTTTGTCACCCCTAAATATAGCAAAAGGAAAAGACACGTTTAACGAGAGCACGATAGCAGGGCCACATGTATGATCTTTTTTTGTCCAAGTAAACCCAGTAAGGAATGAGACTGTAACAGTAACAGACTACTTTTTCTTCAATGACCATTTATTACTTCGTAAATACGCCAATTTTTTAGTCTTTAGACTAAAACTATTTTGTGGGTATTTGTGTGTTCTGTAGGTCCTTTGTATGTATTCATTCATGCTTCCATTTTTGTTAGGAGATTATATCTTATTTGACCAGTCATTTGTCTGTCAGTCTAGCCTATGGTGAAGTGATGCTTCCTGACAGCTGAGCTCAGACAGCAGAGACACATTTGGATTCAGGTGTCTAAATCTGACAGCTTCAGCACGTTAGGTCTCATCAGGGGCTCCGCTAAGGGGGGGAAGTTGGGACGATTCTAAGGGCTCACGCACTTTTGGGGCCCCCAGAGATCAATTTTATTAGTAGTAAGTTAACGGTACTAGTAGTAATGTAATAGGGGGCCTAAGTTACCTCATATTCTTCCATTGGCCCAAAATTGCTAGCGGCACCCCTGGGTCTCATTACAGGCTAAAGAATTGGCTCTTTACCATTTCATTGAAATGATAATTATAATAATTTTTATAAACTAACAACTCAAACATTGTCTTATTGACAGTGAGTGCATGACTAGGTTTACTTACTATGAATAATATTTGACATTTGTATATATTTATTGTAAAATGTACCATGCCAAATGAGAATGGTTCTGCCCAAGGTTTTCCCCTTGTCACATTCGCCTTTTCTCATTGGGGTATCAATAGGCTAAATATTTTCTGTATTGTGAAAAGCGCTATACAAAAAACTTGACGAATAGCAATGGAGTATAACAGTTTTATAAGAATCGCGTTAGCAACCAATTCATTTATGCATTTATATACTAATGCATTTTTACACTGCACAGAAGCTTCATCTGAAGCAGTAAGATGCATTTACAGACTGATTTCCATGCAGCATATGATTTTACACAGAACCTATAATTGCTATGAAATTGATTTAAATATGAAAAAATGAATATAGGAACATGAAATAATTCAATCTACTTTTAATTGTGTACTTGTATATTTCTAATTGAATATATACATCTATAAAAATGCATAAGATCAAAGTTCAATAAAAAAATGCTGAAGAAGAACTCTGACTCTGGTAAAACTACTTTCTTTTGATCTCTGTGGTCAGGAGTTTCACAAAGATGGAAGACTGCTTGATAGAAGACCAGACAACCTTTTACTCGAAGGCAGAACATTACTGGAAGGATGTCCCGCCCACTGTGGATGGAATGCTGGGAGGCTATGGCAGCATTTCCAGCATTGACATTAATGGCTCCAAAAAGTTTCTTCAAAAATTCCTTGGGGTGAGTAATTCTACATTTTAATACACTACTGTTCAGAGGTTTAGGGTCAGAAATATATATATATATATATATATATATATATACACACACACACAGTTGTAATCAAAATTATTCAACCAATAAAATTTGTAAATCAAATTTACAGACTTTCAGCTGTTGGCTATGAACAAATCAAACAAAAGTAATTGAAATCGCTCAACACAACAAATGTTTCAAGTGGTTTCCCCAAATTCAACTGAAAATGCCACTTTTAATGACTTCTGCGGTCTCAAAATTATTCAACCCCTTCATGGCAAGCATCTTTAGTACTTAATTGAACCCCCTTTGCTGTCATGACCTGCTGCAAACAAGATGTATAACCAGACACCAGTGACACTCTGAAGACTGGAGTAATGATGCTGAAAACTCAGCTTTGCCATCACATAAATAAATAACATTTTAAAATAGAAAAATTTATTTGTAATAATATTTCACAATATTACTGTTTTTACTGTATTTTGATCAAATAAAAGCAGCCTTGGTTAACATAAGAGACTTATTTAAAAAACATGAAAAATATTAGTGTAAGTTGGTAGTGTAAATCTTTGACATTCTACTACTCCAAATTTTAGTCCACTGCTAGGTCTTAAGTGATTATTTGAAAGAAATATCTTGAAAATGGAGCAAGACCGTAATCTTGCCCACAATTACTAAGCTCCACCAAACCTTAAATGAAAGTCCATGAGAAACACACTATCGTCTGGTTTCCTTTTTTACTCAAAGGAAGGCCAGGGTAAGACTGGGACAGGCTGTTCTCTGGACTGTGGTGCTGGAATTGGCCGAATCACCAAGCGGCTGCTCCTGCCGCTCTTCCGTACAGTGGACCTAGTGGACGTGACGCAGGAGTTCCTGGAGAAAGCTCGTACATACCTGGGTGAGGAGGGCAAGCGGGTGGAGAACTACTTCTGCTGTGGCCTGCAAGATTTTCAGCCCCAGCCAGAACGTTATGATGTCATATGGATTCAGTGGGTGATTGGTAAATGGATTTATTTGGCTACACCATCTATCATAAGAACAATTTTATACAATGGAAACAGTCACTATAACTAGATGAATCTTCCAATCGCTTCATGTATCTGTAGGTCACTTAACCGACGACCACCTGGTGGAATTCCTGAGGCGTTGCCAGAGCGGTCTGCGTCCGAATGGCCTGATTGTGGTAAAGGATAATGTTGCATTTGAGGGTATAATACCTGATGATGTAGACAGCAGTGTGTGTCGGAACCTGAATCTCCTACGTCACCTAGTAGCCAAGGCTGGACTCAGCATCATCTGTGAGGAGCAACAGCAGAACTTCCCTGAGGAGATCTATCAGGTCCACACTCTAGCGCTCAGATAGCTGCAAGCATTGCACGAGTATGTTTTTATGTGTTTGTTCTGAAGCCAATGATGTGAATGGAAATTAGGAATCAATGTTAGCTACACAAGAAGCCATGTGTTACTGTCAGTGTGATCACCGTTTTTTGAAAAAGGCACAAGAGTTGAAGGTGATATTGGGAGCTTGGGATTTTACTTCTAGAGCTTGTAATATGACAGCTAGTACTCAAAGCTGTCATGAATCTGAATGTAAATGTGGCGAATGGTAGCTTTTCAGTGATCCAAACAGCTTCACACTCCAGTTAATCCTCGGTTTGAAGTCTTCTGTCTGACTCAGAAAGGTTTTATCACAGTGGAAACAATCAAGAAAAAATGTAAACCACACACACTGCTTTATTTTTAGCAGTGGGTGTACTAAATACTTAAAGGGATAGTTCACACCAAAACAACAATTGTCACCATTTACTCGCCTGTATGACTGACATTCTTCTGATGAACATAATATATATTTATGTAAAAAAAATGTTGTCATACATTGGAGGTCAGTGGTCCCCAAAACAGTTTTGGGAATGTTGTTTTTTGTGTTATAGTCATACAGGTTTGGAAACACATGATGGTGCGTGAATGGAGAGAACTATCCCTTTAAGACAATTTAATCAGAGTTTTATGGCACTGAACGCGTGTGTAAAACCTTTTAATAACTTATGAGAATTTGAATGTTCCATTTTAGTATGTGTGAATTTACAGCTGTTGACAGAAAACTCTCAACTGAACCATTGAATAAACTAATATTTTGAAGTAGTCCTTGTATGACACTGTTTTTGTGAGTAACAGTGGTCTTAGCCTTTTTGACTCAAATACCATAATCACCTTCCCCCATCCCTGCTAAGATATTTATTGTCTATATGCTATAATAGTTAAAACATTTTTATTGATGTTATTGATTTTTATTTATATATTTAATGAACGTGGTCAGTAAATTTAATATTGAATTAACCACAATTCATTCATTATATTAATCATAATTTATAAATGTAAATACTTGTAAGTCGTCCTGTGGCCACCCTGTAAGTTTGCAGAGGCCCCCGGTTGAGAATCACTAATGTAGAATATACCAGTGTGAGTTGGATTTTGCATTGTTGAAATCTTTTTTCTTCTTCTAAATGAGCACATCCATATTAAATTTTGACTGGTGCACACTAGCTGTGTCCATGTGAACAATTCGATGCTTCAATTTAAAATGAAAGAATCAGTTCTTATATTTTAGTCATGATTTATTTTAAGAAATTAAAAGAATAGAAGTATTTCCAACTATTAATAAATTTTCCAAGTCTTTATTACTTTGTCCTTCAATAAGTCAAATCCATACAATAAAAATGAAAGCAGTAACCCCAGCCTAGATTACAGCTAACATCAAATTAAATTCATGGTCTGGTAGTGTGTTGTTTGTAACTTCTGTTAAGCTTACAGGTCCCAGTTACATTGTCAAAGGCAGTGGGGAACTTGTTGGGCGAAGAAAGTGGTTGGACCACAACTGAGGTTTGGAATCAAAGCACTATACAACACCATTTAATCTCAGTTCAACTCACTTTTCACACTTGAGGCTATTTTTTGTTTATTAAGGCTATGGATTTAATGGAGAGATCAGGACCAGGTTTCACTTTGAAAGCGTCCGGTTTTCTCCATGGCATCCAGCATCTCGTGTGCCTGGTTTTCAGAAATCCCACCCTCTTTCTGGAATACTTCTTTCAGCGCGTCACATACACTTGTGGGCATCTGCTTGGCATTTCTGGATGAAAATGGAAAAGGGTAGCTAATTTCTGTCCTGCTCCTCATATATGTTGTAATATTGCTCTATAACCATCCATACATACAGTATGGGGTATAACATTCCATAAAAATTGTAATGTTCAACACTATTTTGTTGAATGCCTTAACTTGATGTTAAAAAGACTTACCCTGCTATGTAAAAGAACGCATTCTTCTTTGCTATCAGATCCCATAAAAGTTTGCTTTGTTCCTTTACGCGATGCTGAACGTAGATTTTATCCTCCTGTAAATGAATCAGATTCAGATTTACCTAATTATATCCCACAGCCTATAAAAGAAAATATTTCCAGGCAGCAATTATTGCAAAAACAATCAAATGAACACTGTAATTATAATGTTTCAATTATAAATGTCATTAATTACATTAACATAGATTGATGTGCCTTCTTTTACAGTAAAAACATGCAGTATGGAACACATTTGATTTCAAGTCACATTACCATAACCTGCATTATACTACTGACTGTATGACAAAAGACAATAGGTGTGTACGACTTCATGCAGCGCTGTGCAGACCAATCGGCGAGAGTTGCCACTTGCAGTTGGGGGCAGAATTGAAAACGGAGCCGTCAAGTCGGACACTTTCTGCTTCCTGTAGTGACGCTCGCTCACACTGTGTTTGCGTACTTTATCACAGACAAAGTGGATTAGATGTGATATTTGTCAAATACACAATCTTCAGACAATTTCATCAAGCAACAGAAACACTTTTCATGCAATGCTTAATGCAGCACCATTTGTACAAGAATAAAGTTCAACGTAAGCCATTTAAGTGGATCTATATATTTCTTATCAGTGTTATTTTTATAAACATGACAGTACAACATTATGGTTCCATTTTATTGTTATGAAAACATGGCTTTTTGAGCATTATCGGAACTGAAGGTGTCAGAATAAACACAAAACACGTCATTGTCATAAGTGAATCCGGCCAATCGTTGAACAAGGGTGTCGTCATCTGAGCTTGTGCAGCCGCTGCTCTTGAATTCCTCTCGCGGTATGTTGATGGCTTGCATCACTGTGACGCTGTCTCAAGTCTGACAAAATTCCTTAATGGCATTCACTGCTTCAAGTCAGACGTTGTGTCTGTGCAGCGCCACGTGAAGTCGAACACACCTTATTTTTTAAATGTTCCTGGGTCCTCCCCTCTCTTATTTAGACATACCTGTGCAGTACTCTTATGGTAAAAGCTAAATAATACTCATCTGACCTGATCTCTGGAGAAGGCTGTGACAAGGATCATGTGGCCCCTATGCACCTTCTCCTCCCATTCTGATCGACAGTAGAAGTCTTTTGATTCAGAGCGACAGCCAAAAAATAGCACATTAGCTGAAACAGGAGATGAGACTTTAGTTAGACTGTATTATGACTAAGCACTCGAGACTTATCAACAGCATTATGGCACACATTCGGTCACTACTTATCAAATTATGAGTGTGTTCTAGGCCATAAAGTACACATTGTATAAAGATATAATCAGAAAAATAGGCACCACATTTCTTGATTCTTACCCTCAGCCCAATTCAGGAAGAAGTGTCCCTCACAATAAATTTTATTAGCGGAATACATGTTTGACCATCACTTTTCATCTGATGCTACGCACTTCTGAATAACAACCAAATCCAACAAACTCACCCATCTTCCCATGAGCAGCCCTCTCCTGTATGGCAGATCTGAAGGGAGCCACACCAGTCCCTGGTCCCACCATTATCACAGGGGAGTCTGGGTCGTGAGGGAATCTCAAACTCCCCTTCTTCACCCACAGCGGTATGTAAACATCTCCTAAACAGTATTTTGAACACGATTTTTTAAAACTATTTATTCGCACAGATATAATTATTTGTCTGACTGCATTATTGGCAGTTTTTGACTTTACTTGTTAATTCTTTCAGGTCGATCAGACCAACCTTTCGAGGGCTCCAGAGATGCCAGCCAGGAAGAGCAGAGGCCTTTGCGTGGCTTCAAAAGCAGGGTTTTATATTTCACCACAGCAAGCAAGATCTGGATTCGGTCAGGGTGTTGCTGTGGAATCAGAAACAAATATTTATATAAATATTATACATTTACAATACCGGTAAGATTTGTAATTCTAATATGCTGATTTGGTGCTCAAGAAACATTTCTTATTATTATTAAACAGTGCTGCTTAATATTTTTGTGGAAACCATGATACATTTTTGAGGATTCTTTGATGAATAGAACGGTTTTTTTTCTATTTATTTGAAATTGAAATCTTTTGTAACATAATAGAGATAGTTCACCCAAAAATGAAAATTCTGTCATTAATTACTCACCCTCATGCCGTTCCAAACCCGTAAGACTTTTGTTCATCTTCAGAGGACAAATAATAAAAAAAAATATTTCTGATGAAATCTAAGAGCTTTCTGTCCCCCCATAGACAGCTACGCAACAGACACTTTGACGCCTCAAAAAGAGATCGTAAAACTAATCCATTTTAATTGAACGGTTTAGTCCAAAACTTTCTGAAGAGACGATCGCTTTAAATGCTGAACAGATTGGATTTAGGCTTTTATTCACACATAAACATTCATCAACTCCCACATCAGTTGTGGTAAACAGAAGCTCCAGCATGTTCGCTTGATGTGCGCAAACCAATGAGGTTTATTCTCACGTGTTGCACAGCACGTTTGAGCTTCAGCAAGAGGCTTGTTCTCACACATCAAGCAGGTTCGGTTGAGCTTCAGTTTATGTTCTCTGATCAATGTTTATAGGTGAGTAAAAGCCTAAATTCAGTCTGTTCATCGTATAAAGCGATCGAGTCTCTTAAGACAATTTGGACTAAACCGGTCATTTCATATGGATTAGTTTTATGATCTCTTTATGAACTTTTTGAAGCGTCAAAGTGTCAGTTGCGTAGCTGTCTATGGAGGGACAAAAAGCTCTCAGATTTCATCAAAAAGATCTTCATTTGTGCTCCGAAGATGAACGAAAGTCTTACGGGTTTGGAACGACATGAGGGTGAGTAATTAATGATCGAATTTTCATTTTTGGGTGAACTAACCCTTTAATTGTTACTTTTGTTGACTTTATTGTTGACTTACCAAGAGAGAAGAGGCAATGGAGAAGGAGCGAGGCTGAATTTCTGGAAAAAGATCCAACAAGTAGTCAATGCTTAACTCAGCTGTGGTGTGAGGGAAGTCTGTCAGTACCTGATCAACAAGAGTATAAAGGTTAAATAACATCTGCCCAGAGATCACAAAACCTGTTCACTAGCTTACAGGAGCTGTCGCAAATCCAGTAGATATTTCACTTCCTTTGTGTTAACATTAGAAAGTGACAACACTACTTACAGATTTTAACCACATAAAAAACTTTGTAGGCCACAAAATATCTGAACAAGCACACAGTTCTCGCATACTCCATATGACAACAGTGTACAAAATGAGTCTGCAGACATCATAAAATAGTTATCATTTCACATCAACAGTCAACGTGACCTCTGACCTCCAGGGCTGTTCGGCGGGGTCGGTTGCAGTAGGAGTGAAGAGAATCCTGACCCGGAGCAGAGCTAAACTCCACAAGTTTTTCACGCTCCAGCTCATTAGTGGCAAAAGTGGCCAACACCTCAAAGAAGGAACGACGTGGAACAGCAGAAATGTCCAGGAACTGTTCCACCAGAAAGCGAACGGAGCAGGGCTGAGGAAGACGCACAGGGACTGCTGCTACAGAGAGGAGGGGAACACAGACTTTTTCAAAATTTAAAAGGGAAGGCTTTTCTTATGTGGAACACAAATGGAGATGTTTTAGCATGTGGGTTAAGTTTTAAGGTGATAAGTATCACCTCACCTGTGCTGCTGTCAGTGGAAGTTAGTGTAAAGTAGCACTCCGGGTCAAGCTTCAATAGTTGGCAGAACTGCTCCACATCCTCTGCAGCATTACAGGGTCTCATCATTACAACGTCCCCTGCATTGTACCTGTCAGAGATAGACACAATCTTTTAATATCATTTTGTGATAACATCTCTAGATATTATTATTTTAAATGTTTCACACTGCTCACTGGATGTTGGAGCCTGTAATGTCAAACTCGATATGCCTGACATCCTGGAAGTGTGAGGGATGAGTCACTCTCTGATTGAACACGACTCGAGCTGGAAAAGGCTGCAGCGAGGTGGGAAGAGCCTTATTATCAGGTGTCTGGAGATGCTCAATCTGCTTAACTGGGACTTCATCTAGGAAGTGGAAAACGTATCGGGGTGGAAGTCTGAAAAATCAGAACATTTTACATTAAAGGGTAACTAAACACTAAAACAACGGTTTTTAGTTAATGATCTGTAAGAATGGAGCTTCATAAATGCTGTTCATTGATTCGAGTACATTTTTTGACATTTGGGTATAAAGTGTTTTAATTTTCAAATATATGGTGTAAAAGAGTGCTGCCCTCTTGAGGTTAAACGGAAAGCTCCTGAAGTACTCTGTGATGCAGGGTACTCTCTGACGTCACTCTGTCACGCCCTTGGCAGCCCCTGGTATAAAAGCATCTGGTTCCGTCAAAACTACTATAGCGAGTCAGGAGTTGGAATTACGAGTATTGAAAACAATCAGGATAGCGTATATTAGCATAGATTTTTAGCATTAGCTTTATCTGTATTTAGTACAGTGGTTAGGATGGTACGTAGGTGTAGTGTTGCTGGTTGCAACAGCACTGCATAACTTTCCACTAGACTTGGAAATTAGGCGCCAGTGTTTGCATGCACTTGGCCTGGAAGACCGTGAGTTCCCGTCTATCGCTGTGTGCAAACTGCATTTTACGCGGGATTGCTTCTCCAACGCAATGGAGGTGGAAATGGGCTTCTCCACACAGCTCGTGCTGAAAAGCGACGCAGTGCCAAACGCTGCTCTTCCTGCATGGACTCCACCACCACAGCGGCGTCATGGTGTGAGTGAGCATATATTTTTAATCACAATTTAGGTTCCTTCCTATTAGGCTAAAGTTAACCCTCTGGTGTCGACAAACTGGCCGGCACGATTTGCTGGATATTTTTTTCACATAGCAGCAAAATATACTGAACGTAATAGTAATAATAACCCTGGAAAAAAAATATTTTCGCTAGCATCGTCGGATCCCGATCTTGATGCGGGAGTTAAGACCGCAGTTTGAGCCAGCGGCGCGAATTGATATGGCTCTGGCCCTGTGTCCACAGACAATTCAACATCCTCCACTTCAGGTGAAGGTGGGGGAGAAAAGTCCTCGACTTCAAATGACCGCTCTGTTGCAAAAGCTACTTGCGTCACTCCAGTCGCTCTCCATTTTAGCGAGTCTGACAGCAGCTGTCACTGCGGGTCTCAGGCACTGATCTATATAATGTCATTCTATATAGATCAGTGGTCTCAGTTGCACACATATTTACCCTTTAAATATATTAACTGTTAAATATTTCAATTAAGTAATCAAAGTGTTTGGAAGCTATGAGTGTTAGATTATGTGAAATACATACTTTTCTTCCTCACGGATTGGAGCGAGGCCAGCAGGAGGAGGGTAGACAGACAGGGTTTTCTGCCAGAACGAAAGCAACCAGGGGTCAATCACACCATCAGGCCTGAGGAGTAATACAGGAAATATCAGCTGTACAGAATGCGAACTTCACAAACACTGTAGCCACCTTATTTTTCAATGTGAAGGTAAACGATTTGCTGTAAAAAACAATAAGTGTAGTAAACGGTAAAACTATTTGCACTACAAGCCAATGTCCCTATGATTACAATAATATCAAGCAGCATACGTTGCATATGTTTTTGTACACACATATATATATATTATACATATATAGCTGTACAAAAACATATATAACATTTATTATATAACATATATTTGTGTGTGAGGAGGACCTCTGCTCACCCCAGATCATGTTGATCATCAGCCAGTCCAACAGGCTGCAGCATATTAGCACCAAGCTGAAGCAAACGCTTATGGAGCTTCTTCGCAACAAAGTTGAACCTGGAAAGTGGACAGAAGTGTTGTATCATCAATAATAATATGCAGCCTGAAAACATATGTACTCAGTTCTTAAAAAAAAGAATTATCCTTTCAATTTCATTAAAAATATGCAGTGAAGAAAAACATATGAAAGCATAATGAAGGCTTTGTAAGCAGAACATCTGTCATCTTACTTTGGATACGAGGAGTCTCCAAGGCCCAGCACAGCACAGTCAAGTCGACAAAGAGAATCAGCAGGCAATGCCTTCCTGAACAGGAATCTCCAGAATTTCTATATGAAGAAAACATTCAAATATTTAACATTTAAATATGTAATGCATTAGAGTTTATAGACTTAAGTGATGTATATACAGACTGACCTTCATATTGTCTGGAGGGTCCCCCTGTCCTGTGGTGGCGCAGATAAACACTACTAAAGACTCTGAGATCAGGTTGGCCTAATGAGGAGACGTGATAACATAAAGCAAAGAGATCGTATGAACTAATTAACTTATAACCCCAACTCAATGCAAAGCTTCGCCTGTCTGACTGCAGACGTGCACTGACCACATTGTAAGTGTCCAGGGCTTCGACTCTGAATCTCATCCGCCTCCTCTGCGCCTGACGGCCGATCCGCTCTGCCGTGTCCTGCGCTGTTCCCGTCTGACTCCCGTACAGAACCAGGAGAGTGTGGATGCTCATCCTGACACTGGAATCAGAGAATGTTAATGAATGAATGTTAACCTTTGTTGTGGTTTTTGAGCAATCGGCATCAGATACAAATACTATTCAATACCACCGGAACTTTTTATGATGAGATCAAAAGCCAGGGATGGGTTTGTTGTAAATCGAGGCATGTCAATGACAGCTTTCAGTCATCCACCATCTAACTTACGTGACATTTCCCATGCATCATCACCCTGCATCTTTTCGAGATCTACATTTAAGAAAATATTCCATCACGTGGCTTACCTAAAAATGTAAGGACCTAAGTGATACTCTCTCTCATTATCGTCAGCACATATATTGACAGAAATGACTGACTGTGTAAAACCGATTTTGTCATGGGGCGCTTTACGGCAGATTTCAGTCATTTTACGACGCCGCATGTAACGAGTGAAAGTTTTCCGCAAACACAAGTTACCTGAATGGTATTAATTCGTCTCTCTTCTTTTTCCCACTTGACAGCTCCGGCAAAGTCAAACCGACTGTAAAAAAAAATTGAGTCAGACTAGAGCCCGTCTAACGGAGAGCCTTCTTCTTCTTCTTCTTCTTCTTCTTTGGATTTTTACGGCAGCTGGCATCCATTGAGTTGCATCCAGGTTGCAAAGTGCATTACTGCCATCTTCAGGCTTTATTTACCCTTTACTTTCATTCACACTAAATCCGCCTATCTAATCCAGTCCCCCTCAAAAAACCAAATAACCATTTACTACCCTCCACACTCTCTCCATACTCCAATAAACTTTTTACTGTATTATCTACCCTTCCTATATTTTTAACTGTGTTATCATTTCTTGTCTTTCCTGATTAAATTTCCTGCATTTTGTAAGAACATGTTCTACTGTTTCAACCTCCTGACATTGTTCACACATTCATGTAGGATGTTTTCCTATAATTAAAAGCATAGACATAATAAATACATAGACGCCCTATTGGCCGCTTTGGAACGTTGCTGCGATACGTCAACGGGTCCGCCATTTTGCTGAGGGCAAGACTGCACTGTAATCAAATGTAAGCAAACGGGGGAGCTGCGTTTTTTCTGGATAAAAACAAACTGTTTTTACATTATCAACCGATTTCAGTGGTTTGTATGTGGTGTACAAAAAGTTCCATCTCTAGTTATTTAAAATCTCGATAGTTAGACTTGTAAAATATTTTTTTTAATAAAGAATGGTCAAAGCTCAGGCTTGTCATGTATCTGGCTTTTTATTCTTGGATAAGAATGGTGAAGACCCCCATACTGAGATATAATTTAAGTTTTCTTATTGTGGAAAAAGCATTTTCTGTGATTGACCTGATTTTAGCAATAACAAAGATAACTGATGGATCCTTTATAATAATACGTTATGGTACAACTACAGTGCAATGCAAATAGTAAATATAACATAAAGTGAGAAGTAATAGTAAATAGTTTAGTCAATAAAATAAACAAATAGTATACAGCAAATAAAATAGTAATGATTAGTATAATTATATAATATCATAAGTACAATAATACAATCATAAAAATATTGATAATAGCATAGTTTATTAATAATACTATAATAATAGCAATAGAATAAGAAATATCAATTACAGAATATACACAATAAAAAATAAGTTAAATAGTGACTTTAATATTTAACTCTTTTTGTTAAATTTCAGTTTTATTGATCAGTAATAGCCATTATAACAGAAGTAGCTTCAGTCAAGCATACAGCAGGATACAATGTTAAAATAGCCTAAATATAAAGTTATGAAACTTCACTTTGCCCTCAGCCAAAACGATTTACCAGGGAACCATTTATAGATTAATGAGACCAAAGATCGCCCGTTAGATATACACAAGACGAATTATATCTCATGTTTAACCACTAGACTACAGACATCCGAGTCAGCGGCAACACTTCAGAAGCACTGGCCGAGGTACGGCTGTTCCAGGCGGGGTAGACGAGCGCTGAGCGCATCTTACAGCTCCGAAAACGTCAGATCAAATTTTTAAATAGGCGCTATCTTTATAAACAAACCACATATTTGAGCTTTAAACAACTACATTGTCGACTGAAAAACTATTTAAACTACATTTCGTGACACAATAACAGTAGTATTTTTAAATTTATCCTCTGAACGTTACTATTACTAATTAAATCATGACCAAATACAACCAAAAACAAACGTTCAGTCTTGCTTGTGAAAGGTAATTCCTCGAAAGCTGTTTTCAATTGTGTGGCGATGTGTACAGCCCCAAACAGCGCACAAAACAGGCATTTTTCTCAATTCCCGGTATGAGAGGTATGGGAAAGTTGCCATCCCCAACATGGCGGCGCCGTTGACGTACGCTCCAGCGGCCAATAGGGCGTCTATGTATTTATTATGTCTATGATTAAAAGTGTGCTATTAAGAGAAACGCGTCCTGCGTTCACCAACCACTATTGACCCCGCCCACTTAGCATACAGGAAACCATCTATCTATCTATCTATCTATCTATCTATCTATCTATCTATCTATCTATCTATCTATCTATCTATCTATCTATCTATCTATCTATCTATCTATCTATCTATCTATCTATCTATCTATCTATCTATCTATCTATCTATCTATCTATCTTTTGCTGGCGTTTGGAACAACATTTTGATTGACGTTGAAAATAACATTTTATAAGCATGTTCAGGCTGACTGTTATTATATTATCTTTTCCGCCCGCTAGAGAGCGTCGTCGCGTCGTTCATTAAAAAATGTGAACCGGAAACAATAGTACGATTGACCTGCTCTTATTTTTGAAGTGGATTTAAAAATGGCGTCTAGGAAGAGATGTATGTTTACAGTTATTAATGCGATTATAACAGCTCTTATCATTGAAAGTCAATGTCGACTCCATCATCTCATACTTAAGGTATGTGTGTGATGTGCTTCCAATGTTTTTATAAGATATTCGCACAGTCACTGTATTGTCATCACTGTTGTTTAATGCCAACAGATGCTCTCTGACTTAAGTGTCTTAATATTTGTCAATCATAATCGTTTTGTTGTGACAATGCAAAACCATTAACAGATAATTCAAAAGGATCTCAGCAGCTAAATGCCCGTTCGCCACTAAACACTCTTGTTCTGTTTTAGGACGACATCCGTCAGCGGGTTCATCTGAACACATTCGGCTTATATAAAGATGGTTACATGAGTATAAGCATGAACAGCCTCAGCTTCACTGATGGAAATACGGACAACATTGACAGCTCCACGGTCAGACTCTCTCTGCTGTCTGACAAATGACCGGCTTTCAGATTCATAGAGTACACTTTAATAAAATAACACAGTATAAAAATGTCTCGCACATTATTAATGGAACTTTTTAATCTCATCTTATACAAGGCATAATTTCAGAAAATAGAAATCATCTGTCACATAGAGAAATAAAATATCTTTGTCATATATTATTTTGCAGATTGGTTTTAGCCTAGATCGTGCAAACAATAATGGCTTCTCCACATATCTGGTCAGTATCTGTCTTTGAATGTCTATTTTTCTGCTGTATAGTTGTTATCAGAGTTGTATGATGACTGTGTTTGTAGATTTGTTACTTTGCATAAATTAACTGCTGTAACTTGACAGTCTTGTCAGTTAAGGCTCTTATATACAAGTACAGTATGATTCATATAATATTAGATTAAAGTTAATATTACATTCAGGCATTCTTTTTATGATCTTTCGGTCAGATAATTGATATTCTCTCTTATGAACACGCAGGATGAGGGTCTGGATTATTGTCCTCTGAAAAAGGATCCAAGTAGTAATTTTGCAGGGGTTCTTCTATTACTGGACTTCAAAAATAACCTGTGAGTTTTATTTTTGTACTTTGTAACTTTTTTTATTCATTATAATTTGAATGAATTTGGAAATATTATCTAGTTTTTTAATGTTCTGCCATGACTTGCGATATCCTCAGAGTGAGGAAGAAGACATCAGCGGAGGCTGGTGTTTTTCCCAACATCATACTTGTGTTGCCCAAAAGCATTGCAGAGGACCTGGAAGCTGAAAAGGAGAAAGATCTCCACGACAATGGGCCAGATGATGGATCTCAGTCTAAGAGTAAGTCTTTTCTTTTTATCTTGGACTGTAAATCATAACACGTGGTACACTACTGTTCAAAAGTCAGTTTTTTTTATTTTTTTTAAGAATTTAATATTTTTAACTGATCAAAAGCCACAGTAAAAACATTTTTAATATTTCAATATTTAGATTTACAAAATTTTTGTTCATCAAAGAATTCTTCAGTTTACACAAAAATATATTAAGCGCAACAACTGCTTTAAACGTTGATAATAATAATAAGAAAAATATTTGAGCACAAATTCATCATATTTGAATAATTTCGAAGTATCATGTGACACTGAAGACTTGAGTAATGATGCTAAAATTTCAGCTTTGCCATCACAGGAATAAATTACATTGAATTACAATGTATTCAAATAGAAATTAGTTATTTTAAATTGAAATAATGTTAAAAAAAATTACTGTATTTTTGATAAATAAAAGCAGTCTTGGTGAGCATACAATAAGAGACTTCCTAGCCGGCCTCTCCGGTCACTGTTCCCCCTCACCCCACCCAGCCCTGGAGTGGGCGCCCTGATTTTAGTTTGTGAGGCAGTACTGCCCTGAGATGGGGATTGGATGGGTGTAGGCTGTCAAATACATTGATTAAAAATGAATTGTTTTCATTTCGGTTCGTTCTTAGCAAATATATATATATATATATATTTTTAAATAAGAGTGGAATAACGTTCACTTTATAATGATTTTGCTAATAATCTTTGAAAATAACAACAACAAAAAAATCAATCACTGCTGATTTTTGTTCAGAGACAGATGCAGTTGGAACCTAAACATATTATTTGTGTAGCTATTTGTGTAGCTACCTACAGCAACAGAGCCGTCAACAGAGGAGTGCGGGCAGCGTGCCTTCAGTTGCAGATGCGGCCTTAAGCTTAAGATAATGATTCTAAAATTATTTTAGAGCTCTGTGTATTCAACTCACTTTATTTTCCTCATTCGTTTAAAATAAAATTTCATTACATAATAATAAACTGTAGGCTATATACAATTATTTTATTGTTGAATTGTTTATTAATTAAATTATTAGGTAAGCTAAGCATCATGTTAGTGATGGAAAAAAAAAAATCAGGCTTGTATATTTATGACATCAATTACTGCTTTATTTGTTAATAAACGGAAGTAACTTAAAATGCTATTTGTGTGTTGTACTTTTCATATTTTTAGTATAGTACAGCATAACTACAGTGCTTCCAGTAGGCTATTTTATGGAGCTGTCAACACTGGAAACTCCGGAATGCCTTCAGTTGACGAACACCCCATCCATATATAAAACTATGTGTTATTAAATTGTATATATCAAATTATTTTATTTACAAGTTTTACGCCACCGTGCATTGTTGCCTGTTGTGACCGCAGATGGCAGGCAGCTTGTAAATGTCATAGTTTAGACTTTAGAGAACCCCCTGCCCTAACTTTTGAACAAATAGTGGTTATCTGCACTTGTCGTCTTTGTATTGTAAACGCACTGAAAAGCCTTTTAATTAAGGCAATTTTAATTTTGGGGTAAGGATTTCTATACTTTGTATCAGTCTACCTTTCAATTATTGTTTTGTGTTTATTTCTCTCCTATTTATTTGCAGTGGGTTCTAAATCCAGGCAACATGTTGAGGTGAGATAAGTGAAAAAAATTAGGACTGCGCATTGTCTTAAAAATATGTTAATTCTGCATTCAATGATTTTGATTTAATTACTCCCACAGAGCAAGGCAGAAGATACATATCCTCTTCAGAGCAAAGACAAAGTCTATTCCTTTAAGGTAGGATATACATGAAAGGGTATTGCTGAGAGCTCATGAGATTCTGAAGCGCATCAAGCTAGTTCTGAGCTGAAGTAATATCTGTCCATTTTTAGGTTTACTTTTAAAAATATTTTGTGCATCCCACTGACTCTCCTGCTCTTGTTTTAGTTTTACTTCAACATCACAACGGATGAGCAGCAAGGCCTTTATAACTTTTATTTCTACAACTGCTACTCCATGCCAATAAACCAGGACAGCTCTGCGTCAGACATGCTGCCTTTCAACATTGATGTGAGTGTTTGTCTGAGTTCTAAAATACAGTGTCTATCAATATAAGGAAGTCATGCAGTTCATATACTCGGGAAATAAATATAATTTCAGATCAACATCATAGAGAAGAATCCAGAAAGCTACCTCTCAGCGGGAGAGATTCCTTTACCCAAGCTTTACATCTGTATGTCCATGTTCTTCTTCCTCATCGGCACACTGTGGGTTCATGTTTTGCGTACCCATAGGTAAGTGCTACAATAACAGACCTTATGTAAATTTTCTATTCGACAGTTTCATACATTTGACAAGAAATGACCAGTAGAGAGCAGCAAAATCATATTTCAGATTGTCTTCTGTAAAAATAGTAGAGCATATTATGGGGTCACTGTAATTCTCTTTTTTTATTAGTGCGGATGTTTACAAGATTCATTGGCTGATGGCTGCTCTTCCATTTACAAAGTCACTTTCCCTTATTTTCCATGCAGTGAGTTTTTTCATCTTTGTTTATATGTGAACCTTTGAAGGAAATGCTTATATTTGATGTAAATATCATTAGATTTCAAGAACATTATCTAAATCATACGCAATAAATGATCAAACCATGATAGTTCCACCAAAACCTTGCAATTTAGGGAAAGTGCATTTGAAATACAATTCCATTTTACGCCGGATACCTAAGGCAAAAAGCAGCATTACATTGCCTTTGTTTTAACCTTTTATATTCCTTTTTACAGATTGACTACTACTACATTTCCAATCAGGGCTTTCCTATTGAAGGTTGGGCTGTGGTCTATTACATAACTCACCTGTAAGTTCACCAACATAAACTGGATAATACAGGAATAGGGTGAAGTACTGTCATATAAGAAAAAAACAGATATTTATGTAATGTTTTTGTTCTTAAGCCTGTAACACACTACACAACCATTCAAAACATACACTTGCTGACTTTGAAAATGGTTACAGGGGCATCATAAACGACTGAAGATCACACACTACCAGACTTTCAAGTCATTCTGAACACAAAATCTGCAGACTAGCTCTGACTTTCAGCAAACTAGCGTTGACTCGTCCAGACTGGGAATCGGAGCAAAAATCTGGACAATAGTTGTTTAGTGTATTCCAGCCTTTTAAAAAGTTCCTTAGGTTGTTTTAGTTGGGTAGTGAACTTGTATTTTGAATGAAAACCACTGTGCTGTTGTCTTGATGACTGTAAAGATCTGAATGTTTTACTTTGTGCAGGCTGAAGGGGGCGCTATTGTTCATCACTATAGCATTAATAGGAACTGGCTGGGCCTTTGTCAAGCATATCCTCTCAGATAAAGACAAAAAGATTTTCATGATCGTCATTCCCCTGCAGGTATTGGTTCCCCCCACTTGAAAACAGCATCCGTCCTCATAGTAGTTTCTACTAGTGTTTCTGCAAAGTGTTGTGTATGAATATGCATGTAAAATCCCCAGTTTCTTTTAAACAATTTAGAGGTCACGAAACACTAAAACATATTTGTCAAGATGTTAATAGTACAGTGTTGCTCAACATAGTAGATGTCAGCACGTTATTTTTTAAAGACAAGGTTGTTAATGGGATTTTAAGCTAAACTACTGCTGTCCTATGATATTACTTAGTTTTAATTGTGATTTCAGGTTCTGGCCAATGTGGCATACATCATTATTGAGTCCACAGAGGAGGGCTCCAGCGAATATGGCCTGTGGATGGAGATCCTGTTTCTAGTAGATCTGCTATGCTGCGGGGCTATTCTCTTCCCAGTCGTCTGGTAAGTGCTCTTCCGGTTTGTCCTTTTGATGTGGCCCAGATTTAATTTTCTGTACCATAAATGATATAATTTGTAGACTAATAGACCAAAGTCTGATGTCTGTCTTATATAAGTAAATGGCAGGCTGTTTTGGCTTTTTTATCTTTAGTAGTTAGTCTGAAAGCAATTGTTTTTGTTTGGTAGGTCCATAAGACATTTACAAGAGGCATCAGCAACAGATGGCAAAGGTATGTCGAAGTAACATTGTCAGAGCACTTTGTGGTCAACAGTTCAGTGAAGTTAGATATAAAACTTGATCATCACATCTACTATTTGGAGTGTAATTTTTTTATGACCAGTTGTAGACGTCAGCCCTGTCACAATGTTGAAGCCATTTTAAATGAAGAATTGTGGAAAGTGTGTATTTTTAATCTTTCCAAATGCTTTGCTTGGTTGATTGAGCTGTACTTCCTCACATTTGGTTGTTCTCTGCTTGTAAGTCTTGGTCTTTACAGCATGAAATTGAATTGTGCTGCAGTTCTAGGCATGCTGACATACGTTAACCAAATAGTATAACTTACCAAGTAAATTCTCTTACTAACAGTGGTAGTCTATGGATTATTAAGAGGATACTTCCATTCAAAGAGTTTTTTAAGACATTAATTCTTTCAGCAATATCATTTGTTTTTACTGTATTTTTGATCAAATAAATGCATTTTTGGTGAGCACAAGAGACTTCTTTTCAAAAACATAAAAACAAATCTTACCAACCTCAAACTTTTGAACGGTAGTGTATCTCGTGAATTGTTTGTTAACTCCATTCCAATGATTTGCTTATTATGGGCAATTATTATTGGTGGTGTTGGTTTTGTGGTGTTATGATAAATCATAAATCAGATGAATTGACCCTAAGCTGAAAACACTAATGGATTCAATCATCATTATAAACACTGAGCACAATGGTCATTAATGTTTGGTCAGTTGTTAGTTTCCCATTCCCTTGAACAAACAGAACATGCGTCATCCCTGAATAATCTCTTCTGCAAGCTGTGTTACTAACATCAAACACACATACTATGTCTCCATTGTGGCTTGATAGTTTTAGGGTGGAAAACTGGATCCTGCTAGAGATGCTCTCTGGCATGTGCTTTGCCACTGTGCGTTGTTGCCTGTTGTGACAGCAGATGCCAGGCAGCTTGTAAATGTCATAGCTCAGAGAAACCAGCCTGTGCTATGACTTTATCTAACCCACAAATCCAGGGAGTGGATAGAGATTTGACCCTGCAGCAAGGGATAAATGCCATTACTGTTTGTTTTTTAATTTCATTCTGCTTTATTGTAAAATACAATGAATAATTGTTTATCTATATTATTTTGTAGCCTCCTGTATTTCATATATGTTGAAGAACATCTGTTTTTTCTGTTACACTGTTCAAAAGTCAGGGTTAGTAAGGTTTTCTTTTTTTTTTTTACAGAAATATTAAGCAACTCAACTGATTTCAACATTGATAATAATAATAATTTGTTTCTTGAGCTCCGTTACATCCAGTGCCATCACAGGAATGAATTACATGTAAAATATAAAAAGTATATGAAATATTTCACAATATTACTGTTTTACTTTATTTGATTAAATTCATCATTTTTGAGAATAAGAGACTTCAAAAACATTACAAAAATCTTACAGACCCCCAAAAATTAATTTATAATTTCATAGTAATGCATCTAGACCTTATTAAACTTAATACTTTTAATGTTTCACCAAAATGTCACTTTAGTCACATCCGCACACATACAGTATAACATACACTTTATAGCTTTATATATCTGAGGTTATGCATATCTACAGAAATTCATCTTAGCATTCAGCCTGTCCTCTCTGATTGACTGTGACTGTTTTTTTTCTCCAAGTTGTATTTGTAAAGCTTATACACAACATGTATTTAGTCAGATCTACATTAATCTAATTGTGTGTGTTTTAACTAGTAACATATACATGAAAAATGCATGCTTTTTACTAGCAAAGCTTTGGCACTATCACAAGTCCTTGTATCCGTTAAATATTTTTTGCTATTGCTATTTCGGTCATCCCTGAGGATGCCTGTTTCCAACAATCTAACATGTTTACAGTTACTTTTTTTCCAACAATATTTAAGGCTGAATGAACAAGTGCAGGTGTGTGTGTGTGTGTGTGTGTGTGTGTGTGTGTGTGTGTGTGTGTGTGTGTGTGTGAGGGAGATCAGCACAAAATGAAGTAGGTTATTCCCTTTAGCCCCAATGTCTGTGTCCCAATTTTTGCCACTGCAGAAATATGACTCCTCTCACAAATTACATAAGTGGCAATATATAAGCACAATATGAGATACATAAACTGTAGCACAACTATAGGTTGCTTGGTGTATTATGACTTTGTATAATCCTATATTGGAAAAAAAAAAATCTCTTCACACAATCAATACTTTTTCTCTTTTTTTTTTTCTCTCAAATAATCATTGTTTCATTGCTGCCTATCATATTTTTTCCTGCTTTCATCTTCTGCCTTTCCCTCACAGGGCACAAAGATATAAACTTAAATTGCCTTCTGATTTTGACAATTTTCACAGCAGGAGTGAGAACCACAGTAATTGAAGCATGAAAGTTAAAAGGAAAGCTCATTCCCTCTCTCTCTGTTTTAATTGTAATGTTTGGCTTTCTCGTTCCCCTTGTAGCTGCCATCAATCTGGCTCAACTGAAACTTTTCAGACACTACTATGTGATGGTATGTATTCACCTCCATGTCATTCTCACTTGCGTTCAGACACAGTGCTTTTAAAAGGACATGTGCCTGGTGCTCAGTTTGTGCTGGACTGACTGTCTGTTATGGCACTAGACTTGTTAGACTTATTAGTTTTGCTTTATTTTAACAGTCACTGTCTCTTTAAATGCATTTATTTATGAAGGTCTGTGTATGAATACATTGCATTCACTGTTTTTACATAGATTTTTCACTGGATTTTTGTCTGGATTTGTCTCCAGCCAGTCTGAGCCAAAAGTATTCAATTCTGCATGTTTTAGGTTTAATTCATTAATTTGTAAGGACAGAAAAGACGCTTATTTTGTTCAGTGCTTCAATGGAAACAAGAACATCTGACCGTGAGGAGTTCACATGATCAATTGCCACATTTACTCATTCGATTAGTGACCTAATTAGTCCAAAACCTAAATAAATTTCTTTATTTTGGCATTCTTTTTATCTCATCAAAATCAGACTAGAAATCTTTTAGATAAGTGTATCTCTCTCTCTCTCTCTCTCTCTCTCTCTCTCTCTCTCTCTCTCTCTCTCTCTCTCTCTCTCTCTCTCTCTCTCTCTCTCTCTCTCTCTCTCTCTCTCTCTCTCTCTCTCCTTACTCTCTTCTCACTCTTTTTCTGTCACAGATTGTATGCTATATTTATTTCACCCGCATCATTGCCAGTCTCATCAAGGTCATTGTCCCTTACCAATGGAAGTGGCTCTACCAGGTGAGTGATGGCAGCTTCCTCAAACATCAGTATAGTAAAAGTGCACTAAAGACTTGTTCACATAAAAAAAAAAAAAAAACTTCCCTAATGATCCCTTCACACAGACATTCATATGTGTAATATTTTAGCAATATTTATTGTTTTACATTAAAGCTAGTTAAGTCATTCTTCAGCATTCCCAAGATAACAAATAGTATGTGGACTGTAAAAGACTGTAAAAGACCAATTGTCCAATGCCATGAGGGGTCACATGATTGTTTTACTAAGCAGTGTACATAGGGTGGCCACCTGGTTATTGCTCTGTTGCAGGACAGTAGATGTGATTTTGCGGGACAGTGCAATAAAATTACTGCTATTATACTATGTAAATATTGATTTACATTAGTTGGGAAGCTTATTTTAACGTTTTAAATAGACAATTAAGCTTAGTTAATTGTGACCAGCTTTGTGACTGGTGACAATGTATTTTACAGGACCTATTGCGATTGGGAAATATATATATAATTTTATTATTATTATATCTGAATAACAGTCTAGTAGTAGTAAGCAAAAATCACATTATATAAAATAAATTTCCTTAAGTAGCAGCAAACTTATTTTCCTTTATTAGACTATGCAAAGAATAAATGCATTTTACTGGATTTAGTGCATCTTGAACTTGTGTCTTTTGTTGGATCTGGCATGTTTAATCAGGATGTTGTCAAGAATAAGTCCTGGCTGGTGTAGCTGTATAAGGTCCACATTGGTTCCTTTGCTCCGTCCACACAGTCGTCATCAGCAGAAAAAAACCCTCTCTATGAATACGTTGGTTGGTTATTTTCCCGCTCTAGCTAGAACATAAGGGCTGCGCAAATGGATTTTAAAACGGCATTCGCATTTTTTAGTATTATGTTTCTTATTGTGGTTTTGTAATTTTAGGGAAGAAAAAAAAATCCAGACATAATTGAAATGTGGGACACTAGGGCTCCCAATTTTGGGTGGTCACCCTACATATACAAGGTCACTATCCAGTTGTAGTGCACTTCACAGATAATATTTTGAGCTGACTTCAGTGACTTTAAGTTTTATGTCTGTTGCTTAGATTCTATAAGATAACACTGTTGGGTTACAAATACTTATTTAGAACCATTTGAATCTCAGATTTGATAAAATGCATGAAAAGAAGATATCATATTGGGTTAACAATTGAAAAAAATCCACAAATACATACATGCAAGTGCAACCATTCAAAGTTTTATTGCTTTTTCAAGTTATATAAGTGTATTTTATTCTTTATTCATAGCTGCTGGATGAGCTTGCCACTTTGACCTTCTTCTTTTTAACCGGACACAAGTTCCGACCGGCCTCCTACAACCCCTACCTACTGCTGTCTGTGGAGGAAGAAGACATGGAGATGGATGATGTGTAAGAAATCATATTTAAATACACAGCTACTGGTGATTATGCACTTTATATTTAATGTAAGAGCAGGCAATGTTTTTCTTGGCAATGTTCTTCTATTTATTTACCTATAGAGACTAATGAATCAGAAGTCTTGCACAGGAAATAGCTTATTTCTGCTTTGAAAAATAAGGTGGATGTCATATTACAGACACAATGAACGCTAAACATTAACTTTCTTTCATGATAAATTTTCATAGTGCGTCATTCTTTTATTTCAAATGATCAAGGGCGATTTGATTCCTCAAGATGGTATGACTCACTCACAGCAGAGAGAAAGTGACGTCGGATGACCATAACCACACACAAGAGATGATATAAGACTGTCTCAATTTAAAGGGATAGTTCACTGTCATCATTTACTCACTGTCAAGTTGTTCCAAACCTGTATGAATTTCTTTCTTCTGCTGAAAACAAAAGAAGATATTTTGAAGAATGTGGGTAACCAAACAGTTGATGGGCCCCATTGATTTTTCCCCCCCCATATTGTAAAGTCAATGGGGACCATCAACTGTTTGGTTACCCAAATTCTTCAAAATATCTTCTTTTGTTTTCAGCAGAAGAAAGAAATTCATACAGGTTTGGAACAACTTGACAGTGAGTAAATGATGACAATTTTATTTTGCAGGTGAACTATCCATTTAAAAGTGCATTACTCTCATTTTTGTTTTTTTTACAATTATAAGACCATGTGTATGCGCAGCTCTTCTACATACCATGACCCTGTTGCGCCCCATTACCAGCTGCGACCTGGTCACACGGACAGGCTTGCAATGATCCAGCCACCTGTCATGGCTCTAGAAGAAGCCCACAGGGGTTCCTTCTGATTGGAGGACCTGGTAGCCATCCTCATTACATGCCCTAGCTGAAAGCACCTGTCATACCCTGTTTATTTACATACGCACTCCCAAACTTTCATGCTGGTCATTTCCTGCTTATTTTAAAGCCATGCCATGTACTTACTCCAAACGACCTCATCAGGTCAGACGATTCTTTGTTTTAATTTCTTTCTCTTGCTTCATCTCTACTGGCTTGGTGGTTTTTTTTTGTTCCTCCTTTTTTCTCCATCCTCGTGATTTTCTCGCTAAGGTCTCAGTGGATTGCGTTTCTCTTCACTACCTGATGTCCAAGTCTTGTTCTGTTCCATGACAAAACCCATCCTCCCCTCCTTCCCCCAAGTTCCCATCTCCCATTCACCCCGCATTCAGCATCCCCTCAGGCGACGTGTGCTCTATCCCCGGCACTTCCCAAAATAGCCCTGTGACTCCGTATGTCCTTGTTCCTTGCTTGCACTTTCCCCCTCTTCTTCTTCTCCTTCTCCCCCGACAGCCTACCATACACAGGACATTTTGCTTTACTCTTTGTGTTATTTTTTTTTTGTGGCCTATTTTCCCAAAACTTTTTTTGGGTGACTTGGGGTGCGGCCTGATTCAGCTGTCCTCATTGAGTCTCGCAAAGAACACAGAAAAGATGGATGACGGTAACCACAAAAATAGAGGGCATTGCTCTCATGAGCATTCAGAGTTTAGGTCCACACTGCCCTGTCTGCTTTTATTATTATTATTATTATTTAATTATAAAATGGAGATACTTTTTTTCCTTTTTTAATCGAGTGCAACAGTTTAACAATTTTCCATTCATTTTCTCCATTGAAAAATCATTTTCGTTGATGGACAATAATTTGTCGTGGTTATTTCAACTTCCTTTTTAAAAAATTGTTTAATAGCCAAATTCCAGGTGAAGAACTATAGTACCCATGAATCCTGAAGGGATCGCCCACCTACTTAATATATTTGTAGAAACATTTATTTTTTCAGGATTCTTTGAATAGAAATATTAACAGAGCAGCAATTATTTGAAATAGAAATCTTTTGTAGCATTATAAATGTATTTACTGTCCTTTTCATCCTTGCTGAATAAAAGACAAAAAAAACTTTAAATCTATCGCAAAATATTCATATTCACTACTGTAAAGTATATTTTTAAATGTGAAAAATCAGTGACGGTAAATAAATCAGTGTATTTTTTTTTTTAAATCAACTATCCTTAATGGGATTGTAGTTCATTGCCTCAAAAGATGTACACATTTGTAATGTTGTGATTCATCTTGGGGCTGGTTGGTTTTGTTAATGGCACTGAAAAAGTGGAGGGTCACAGTTGCCCTCTTTTGTAAAGTATTACATAAAATCAGCTTTAACTATTAATGTGCTATAAATCGGGCCTTTTCTTCTGGAATCAAAGGTACATTTGTTACACACAAAGCGCCATAAAATGAAACCGATCTCATAGCATTCTAGCTGTTTAGGGCACCTGTTAACAGAACTTGATTTGAGCTGAAATTATTATATTTTCTTTTTGCCATTTCTTACAGTCTTTATTTTAGGATTTGTGTCTCAGTAGTCAGAGGTTGCTGCTGAGGAGAGACAATGACTGGTGCTGTGGTCTCTGGCCGTGTGGTGAATGTCTCGAAAACCTTGAAGTCCTGTTCTATAGCAGTACTTATGGATTGCGTTTAAATTGCTGAAAAAGTTATCATTGTGTATCTCAACATTCAGTGACTTGTTTGCACCCGATTTGACTCTAGTATATTGCACTCATGTTTTCTTCTCCATTAATATAATAAAATGGGTAAATCTTGTTGCTTCAACAACAGTAGATGTGTGGTGCATCTGAGCCGTGAACAGTATGCTGATACTAGTTGTGGCCATATGCAGTCCAATCCGTGCTCAGAGTATGAAAGCAAGAGAGTTTATGTGCGTGTTGCTCTCACTTGGTCTCATTTTTTGCTCGGAACATTCTGTCCACATTCAAATCTAATACAGAATGCTTGCCCAGTGAACTCATGGTCACATTTTATTGGAAATGGCTGTATGAATGCAAATGTTGATCTTGGTTTAGGTGATTCAAACATTTGTGGCTCAGTGGGAGAAGATTCAGAAAGAACAATAGACACTAAACTTGTACTTCATGCCAAATGTAAATACTCATTTTAATTACACATTTGTTGCAATCATCTTAGAAACTACAGTGACCAGAAGGGGACATGTTCGGTTTAGTTTAATTGTGGCCACGACATATTAACTCTTGGGAATGTGATAATATGTTGTGGCCTTAAGATCGTATGTTGAGTGAACGATATATTTTTCTAGTGGCCACGACTTCTTTATGTTGAGGGAAGGACATCTATTTCCCATGGCCATGAGTTAAATGCGTTAACAACCTGCAATTTTCAGAAATGGATAGTATTTTATTTTTATTAGGAAAAGGTGGGGAATTAAGAAATTATTATATTAACATATTGCCTGTTATATTGTATTGATTGCGATGGTGCCTATAGACCGTATACAAATAAAGTTTATCAATAAATGTCAAAAGAATATGCATTATAAAATGTTTTTATCCAAATGTCTTTTAAATCCAGTCACTGAGCATTTCTTTTTTTATTTAATATTTTGATATTATTATTGTTGTTTTTATCGATTATGTATTTGCTTTATTTTCCTCTTCATTTCCTGCATCTCCTTACCTAATTAACTTTCTGTATATATTATGTTACTTAAAGTATATATTTTGTAAATACTGTAAATGCCTGTATTTCTGTCGACAGTAGCCTGTGAAGATAAATGAACGTCGGTTTTCATTTATAGCACATCGTTCCCGTGAAAGCATTCGAATGAAGTTTGAATAAAACATGAAATGAAACATGAAAAACATAAAATTAAGTTGTAATAATATATATATATATATATTATTATTATTATTATTCCGCTTGATCTCATTATCTCTTTACCCAGTTAACATTATGTATTATCTTATAGCCTACTTACAGTAACATATAGCCTAGGTTTTGTAAATAGGCCTATTTGTAAATGCCGAAAAGTCATGCCAATAAAGCTTTGATTATGACCTTTACGGGAAGTTCGCTTTACAGGAATCTAACATATATTAGGCTATATTTTTCATTTTATTTCGGTTAGGCATAATAATAATAATAAAAAAAACACGATCAGTGAATGGATTTAAAAGGCTGTGAGATGGGATGGATAATTTTTTCTTGTAGGCCTATATTATTTTATGTTCTAACATATTCTTTTATCATTTATTGATAACAAACTTTATTTCAATGCTGTCTAGGCAACATTGCGTGCAATATAATTGGCTATTATATAGGTTAATATTATAATTTCTTAATTCTGCCCTTATTTTGTCATTCTTAATTAAAAATATATATTATTATAGCCCTATCCAGAGCCGTTGATCATGACGCAGGTTGTTTACACATTTAACTCGTGGCCATGAGAAATTATGTTTTTCCCCCAACATAGGATCTCGAGGGCACGACATAAGGATGTCATTACCTCGACAAAATGATCTTGTGGCCACGACAAAACTAAGTGAAGTGAACCAAACATGTCCCCTCGTGGTCACTGTAGAAAACAGAAAGATTAAGAGAAGGATTGTTTTGTTTTGTTTTATGAATTAAACATCAGTTGTATGCATGCGAAATTGCTGAAGGGCTTTCCTCAGAAAATTGGGACAGTCTGAAATTATTTAAGGACCTGTTTATGTTTTTATTTAGCTATTTCAGAGAAGCATTACTGATCCAGATTCTGTCCACACTGATATTCACAAGAAGCGCAAAACCAAATCTAATGTAGAAATATTTTTATCTCTTGAATGTTTTGTGGTTGAGTATTTAAGAGTGTTTGGCTTCAAATGACAAATCATCCCTGTTGTGCTTGTTTTTTGTTGTTAATGATGCTCTTTTCTTTCATTTCAGGGTAACTACCTCAACAGGCATGGGAGAGGGCGTTAAGAAGGTGAAGAAACTGTCAAATGGACCATCAGAGGAGAGGGAGAGCATGGCATGATGGGAGATACAATTCTCTGTCGGTTCTGTGTGCCTCTGGACTTTGTGGCCAGCTACTGACATGTGAGACATTCTTGAAGAGCTTAACAGCTTTATGTGCAGAATTCACAGTGGACCATCTCTCATGATCACATTCCATATCCACATATATGTCTATCTCTGTAAATGTTGCACAGACAGTATGGATAATTCACAGTACCCAGCTCCATGATTCCTTCAGCCACTGTAGTTTTAATTGAAATGCTAGGTGCTGCTGTGTATTATTTTCATTTTACCTTGATGATTTTTTATTTATTAATGACCTTCCTACTCATTGCTTGATCTTAGACACGCTGTGGCACTTTAACAGGTATACACTCCAGTCGAGTGAACGCGTATGTGAGGTCACTGGAAATCTGTGACGTCTCTTTCAGCTATTATTTAAATGATTATTACCTGCTCTGAGTTCTCAGAAAGAATCATTTTTATGTAAATATCCAGGCCCTTAAAACATACGTAACCCAGATTAATGTTACAAAGATTTAACTGTACAGTTCTAAAGCTTACGTCAGGATTTGATGACAGCTGCTTAGTATTTTCTCAGTATTTGTGGATTATTGAATGGATGACGATGGACTTTCGTGAAATAGATCCAGGGTGTCCAGAAACTTGTTTCAAATGTATCAAACGTGGATTAAAATGATTTCAGGGATCTTGTAATTTACGTAATTTAGTAATGTAATGGAGGGTTTTATTTTGATGTTTAATATTTTGCTTATTTTTGGATATCTTTGAGCAAGCTTTATGAAATTGTGTTTAAATTGTGCAATGGTTTCATTTGCATTTGTCTTTTATATTTGGTTAAAAGTGTTTATATAAATCATGTGAAGTGTCCATCTCCATCTCTATGATAAAGAGCCCATCAGAAATCAACCCTGAAAATCTTATCAGCGTTTTTATTTGAAAACATACAGAGGGACAACATTTTCTCTTCATGTTTACCAGAAACGATCATAGCAAATAAGACCAATGCTAAAGCAGGGTCTTATCATGCTGGGACACACTAAACATTCGACAGCACTGAAGCAAAAGGCTCACTTATAATTAATTCACAAGTCTCGAGTCCTGTGCTCACTTCTGCTCAAGTGCCATTAAGAGCATCTGATATGGACAAAATGTCAAAAAGGGACTAATGAAAAGCGTTGGCTGCTGAGGATGGGAGAGTTGCAAATGCTAATTCTATTTCCCTTCTACTTGATTAGAAAATAAAGCATGAGAAATGTTTTAAATTAATTTCATATCCATTATCTCTTAATAATAATTATGAGGACAGATGCAAGCTTCAGTAATGCAGTTGGGAAGAGATGTAGTGAGGCGCAAGATGCTGACATGCATTGGATGAATTTATTCTCGCAAATTTCATTCCTTATTTGCGGTCCGTAATAATCAGTTACCAGAAAAACTCTGATTCTGTGCTACTTGATTACTTCATCAGTTTTTTTTGTGTCAGTCTTGATTAGAGAATATTATGTCACTTTAATGGTCTATTTATAACCAGACTGCATGGGGATAAGGAAGTTTTAGTAAGTATTTGCTTAAACTAGCTAATAGATGTTCATTATGCCTATATAAAAGATAATGGTATATACTGCAATGTTTATGATTATAGTTTTATTCGTATCTGGTTTAATTAAAGGTTTGTCTTATTACCCTTAATCATGTTATTTAAAATTATTATTAAAAAAATTAGCCCTATTTAGCCAACTCAATTTGAAGCTGTGTTTACCATCTTAAAAGGCTAATTGCGCAGTGTTTACCCTAACACGGTTAGCCAGCTTTATGGTGGTGATAGTCGCACATGGTGTAAAAGAGAGTGAGGATGAGGATCTAGAAGCTGGATTAGATGGCAGTTGACAATATTAGTCTGTGCCCAGGGTGAATGGGGTTAAAGATTAGCTGTCTGGCTAAAGCTCTCTGTGCAATAGCATAAGGAATGGTTTGAGGGTTGTTGAAAATCCAGTGTCTTGGAAGAAGCGATGAACAATTTTTTCTTTTTCCATTAGCTTAATGAAAACAAATGCTTCAGTTTTAGAGTTTTGAGTAACACAATCACAATTTTCTGGATGTAAGTGGCAAACTCTGACATATATAGTCAAAATGGGACATCTGGTTATTTTAAATATAAAAAGGAACATTTAATTTTAAATATAATTCATAAAAGATTAAATTGAATTTGAATTTGATTGGCTGAGCGGCCTTCATGTGATACTTTCTTTAGGCTACATCGTTACGCCTATGGCACAAAGTAACTATCACTGAAATGAGTCGTTTAATCATTCAATTAACCGTTTCTTTATAAACATTGATTCATTTATTAAAGCAAGAAGTGCACTATCTTTGTGGAGGATGCATTGAATCATTCACTCAAGCAATTTGTTCAAACACCACTACTGTGTGTCGCGTGGATGTAAATATTTTAAGTGTCTAAAATGTAAGTTACTTAATAATTTCTTATTAATTTAACTGTTAAAAGCATTGTCACACTGGCAAAATCACATTTGCAAAGTCTGAAAAGTGGCAAGTTCACTGAATATGATCTGAGAGGAAACACCTGCCACATGTATTTTCTGGCAGTGTATTGATTATGTACAATGACTTAGGTACAATATGTAGGATTTTTGCAGTAAAATATCCAAAAACCACTAGGCCAATGTTATATACACTCACCGGCCACTTTATTAGGTACACCTGTCCAACTGCTCGTTAACACTTAATTTCTAAGCAGCCAATCACATGGCGGCAACTCAGTGCATTTAGGCATGTAGACATGGTCAAGACAATCTCCTGCAGTTCAAACCGAGCATCAGTATGGGGAAGAAAGTTGATTTGAGTGACTTTGAACGTGGCATGATTGTTGGTGCCAGAAGGGCTGGTCTGAGTATTTCAGAAACTGCTAATCTACTGGGATTTTCACGCACAACCATCTCTAGGGTTTACAGAGAATGGTCCGAAAAAGAAAAAACATCCAGTGAGCGGCAGTTCTGTGGGCGGAAATGCCTTGTTGATGCCAGAGGTCAGAGGAGAATGGCCAGACTGGTTCGAGCTGATAGAAGGGCAACAGTGACTGAAATAACCACTCGTTACAACCGAGGTATGCAGCAAAGCATTTGTGAAGCCACAACACGCACAACCTTGAGGCGGATGGGCTACAACAGCAGAAGACTCCACCGGGTACCACTCATCTCCACTACAAATAGGAAAAAGAGGCTACAATTAGCAAGAGCTCACCAAAATTGAACAGTTGAAGACTGGAAAAATGTTGCCTGGTCTGATGAGTCTCGATTTCTGTTGAGACATTCAGATGTTAGAGTCAGAATTTGGCGTAAACACAATGAGAACATGGAACCATCATGCCTTGTTACCACTGTGCAGGCTGGTGGTGGTGGTGTAATGGTGTGGGGGATGTTTTCCTGGCACACTTTAGGCCCCTTAGTGCCAATTGGGCATTGTTAAATGCCACGGCCTACCTGAGCATTGTTTCTGACCATGTCCATCCCTTTATGGCCACCATGTACCCATCCTCTGATGGCTACTTCCACCATGTCACAAAGCTCTAATCATTTCAAATTGGTTTCTTGAACATGACAATGAGTTCACTGTACTAAAATGGCCTCCACAGTCACCAGATCTCAACCCAATAGAGCATCTTTGGGATGTGGTGGAACGGGAGATTCGCATCATGGATGTGCAGCCGACAAATCTGCGGCAACTGTGTGATGCCATCATGTCAATATGGACCAAACTCCCTGAGGAATGCTTCCAGCACCTTGTTGAAACTATGCCACGAAGAATTGAGGCAGTTCTGAAGGCAGAAGGGGGTCCAACCCGTTACTAGCATGGGGTACCTAATAAAGTGGCCGGTGAGTGTATTTTATTTAGTTGATGACTTACAATATCCCCAATGTTTCCAAATATTTCTAAATCGTGAGAAAATTGCGATTTTAGTCAAGGAAACGGGACGTGTCAGCAGGGGTGAGGAGTCGCCAGTCAATGGCGTCATATCCGCGTTACTCTCGGTTTCCGCCACTAGAGGTTTCCGCTTGTACTGCCATAGTAACCATGGCGACAGACGTGGACAACTAGGTAATGCCAATAGTCTCTGGTAATGCTTAGCAGGACGCTCACGCTGTTGTTGTTTTGTTCAAACATTTTGGACCATGGCAAGCAGACTTTGAGACAAAAAGAGGACTAGAACGAAGATCAAAATCTTTCGAGATGCCGAGAGGTCCACGTCCGCGACTAACTTCGACTTGACAGAGACACGAGTGTTCCATGTATTTTATTAGACAGGTGAGCAAATGTACATAAAACTAATCAATATTGTTTAGTTCAACATGATGAAATGTTAGAATATGATCTGTATGTTATTCTAATGTTGATCTAGTTTACTGCTAGTCTCATATAGCCAACAAACAACCTAACTAACAACATTCAACACACTCAAATGCCGTTTAGTGTGATAGTGTAACTGTTAGAGCAAGTGAAACAGCGCTGCGTTGCCTCAGGTTTAATTCGTCTTATAAACTGACCTGTGTGAGTATTAATTCAGCACTTGCGTGTAGTTCGGTAGAATGAAATGTCCTTATTCCGCGGGACTCGCGTTGCGTGTGGCGCTGGTATAGCTACGTCTCTCATTAGCAATCGTGCCCTGCTTCATACCACAGTCATGTTAAAAACATCAATGTATTCACTCATCCATAAAAGATCCATCAGCTTGACGACAAGATCCATAATTCCGCTTGATGCTTTGCGTCATCGATATACGCCTTTGTTATTGTAAGAGATTAGCGATCCCCGGTGGCCAGAAATTACATACGAAGTAAAGCAGTCCTAAATAACTTTGACTAAATTATACTCCACTGAGCCATTTGTATTCTGGGCCAGAGAAACTTCACTAGAAAAAGGCTCCCGTAACCTTTTGTTAAAAGGAAAGCATCTAACATAAAAGTCTCTTTTGAGATACCAGCAGATTGTATAAATGTTACCAAATATAGGATAGGCCTACATAATTTTACAAAGTAGTGCTCAAATGCTTGGCACAACATGTCATTTATTTAGATAAAACACTTTTGTCTACCTGACGTCTACAAAATATGCTGCTCAAAAGTGCCTTTTTAAACTCCTGGCTACTTTCCAGTCTGTTCTCCTGCTGTGCAATACCCCAATCTGTAAATCGATTCCTTCCTCCCCTTTGCTTAGATGCTATTTATATGCCTCTTCCACCTTCCGAAATATTTTGTATCTGTATTTTTTTTATTCCAGAATGGTCCTGATTTAGAACTTTGCTATATTGATGCTCTGATGCAACTACAGTGGTGTGAATAAGTTATTACCCCCATGCTAAAGTTGCCTAAAAAGAGGAATAAAAAAATCATCTTTTGGAAATTGATCTTAATGCCTTAATTAGAAAAATGAGGAAAAATCCAACCTTTAAGGACACCAATTTTCTTTGTGTATGAATAATGTATCATAAATAAATAAATGTTCTTCCTTAAAATACAGGGTGCATAAGTCAGGCCCCCCCTATGTTAAATTCCCATAGAGTCAGGCAGATTTTTATTTTTAAAGGCCAGTTATTTCATGGATCCAGGATAATATGCATCCTGATAAAGTTCCCTTGGCCTTTGGAATTAAAATATCCCACATCATCACATTCCCTTCACCATACCTAGAGATTGGCATGGGGTACTTTCCATAAGATCATCTTTCAATGCAAATCAAACCAGCTATTAGGCTAACTGAAATAACACCATGCCAATCTCTAGGTATGGTGAAGGGAATGTGATGATGTGGGATATTTTAATTCCAAAGGCCAAGGGAACTTTATCAGGATGCATATTATCCTGGATCCATGAAATAACTGGCCTTTAAAAATAAAAATCTGCCTGACTATATGGGAATTTAACATAGGGGGGGGCCTGACTTATGCACCCTGTATTTTAAGGAAGAACATTTATTTATTTATGATACATTATTCATACACAAAGAAAATTGGTGTCCTTAAAGGTTGGATTTTTCCTCATTTTTCTGATTAAGGCATTAAGATCAATTTCCAAAAGATGATTTTTTATTCCTCTTTTTAGGCAACTTTAGCAAGGGGGTAATAACTTATTCACACCACTGTAAATTCATCACAAAATGTCACAGAGACCAGAGTCTGTTCTTCTTAGTGTATTTAATAGTATGGAGATCTGAGATGAAGTAGAGAAAGTGTAGATGCTTTTACAAAAGGTACTGGTGGCACCATGGTATCTAATGGTAATAATGTGGTTCTTTGATATATGGTACTGAATTATTACCATATCCATATCTCATGGTATTTTCATTGTAATCTAAGGTATATGAAACTACCATGGTGCACAACAAATATGTTGTATTACTATCAGTTCCCTAAAAATATATTTTTTTGTATTTTTGTTAGTTGTATCCTAAATGACAAAGTAACAATAACCAGTCACCATTGCTGAGAAAAAAAAAAGTTTTTAGCTACATGACAAATACAAATTGAATTGTCTACTACAATATACTTTTAAAATCTACAAGATAGTTATTGAACTAGACATGATGGCACAAATGTCTACTATAGTTCAGGAAGTGTTCTAGCAGCTGATGCTGTTGGCAAAGGCCGCTGGGTGTTTATGGAGCAGCTTGAAGCTGACTCAGCGTCCTCGTCTTCTGTTTCTGCCTTCTTCATTTAGAGGCAAAAATCAAACACTCGCCTTTCTCTCTTTCTGACGCTTTAACAGCACTGCACAAACTAAACCTCCCATGAGGAGTGAATTGGCCTGGACTTAAACTGGGCCAGCAGATTATAGCCGTGGCTTCGTCAAAATATGACAGAGTATGAGCCTTTACTCTGTACAGCTGCACTATCTCAACTGTAATCCTATTTTGGGATTATACTTATGAATGTACATGCATATTTATTTATATTCAATCCTTAGATGTTTTAGCCTTTGTTATATATACATAATTGGAAAATTATATATATATATATATATATATATAATGTTTAGATGTTTAACCTAATGTATAGCTGTACTGTATATATAATTTTTTTTGTTACAATTTGGATTACACCATTTTAACAAAAGCAAAATATATTTCTCATATTTTTAAACATAAATGAAGTATGTAAAAAGAGATTCATGTCATAAAAAACCCAATTTGTTTTACATACACAGTGACCAGTTTTATATATTTATCATCACAATTAAATATGTAAATCGCATACATTTAAACTATAACTGAATATTGCTTGTTCCACAGCTAGCCATATTTAAACCATGTTCATACTTTTTAACTGATAAAATGTATTTGTTTTCTGTAATCCAATTTAAGCTGATTCTTACAATTTTGAGTAAATGTATGTAAAATATGATTGTTTACATGAAGCAAAATAGATACAAATACTATTAATATAAAATAATAGTACTATTATTATATTGAGTGTATATTTGCTAAAATATGTGTCTGCCTTTTTATATTAAATAATAATATTAAAAATAATGGTCAAATCTAAAGTTTTAGATTTTAGTAAGGGCCTTTTAAAGAAACTAAATATGAGAACGAAAAAAAAAAGTCTTTGTCACAGGGATATATTTAGGGGAACAAGGATATTTTCATTCAGTAGGACTGAGAGCACTACGGGAGTGGCTTCTGTTGCCAATGACAACAGCATCAACACATAACGTGGTGACAACACACGCCCGCACACACACACACACACAGACAGAGAAAGAGAGAGAGCCAACAAATGCGTCTGCATGTCTGACTCATTTAGTGAATCGATTCCTCTTCAAGGTGGACCGAGCCAGACAGCAGCGATCACCCAACTGAAGAGTGGCTCTCCTGGGCTCGAGGAAACCGCAGACACTGGCTGGAGGACTGGAGGAAAGGGGAGGAGGGACACCGGTTGACAGATTAAAGCCCTCTCTATTGCTCTCTCTCTTTCATTCCCTCCGAGTGAGGAGAGACAACTCTAGGCATTGCATGCTGTAGTCACATTGCTTCTGTGTAATTTGCTCCTTTCAATTACTTGTCCTTCCTCCTCTTCTTTTCTACACTGCTGCGGTCTGGAGGAAAGGCACGATTCAAAAGGACTTTTGCGTCTCTCTCTCTCTCTCTCTCTCTCTCTCTCTCTCTCTCTCTCTCTCTCTCTCTCTTTAAATGTAAGTGGAAGGTGGGATTGGGGGGAGTGAATTAAGGAGTGAGGATAAACCGTTGTGACCAGCTGGAGAGATGGGCAAATCCAACAGTAAACTAAAGCCTGAGGTAGTGGAAGAGCTGTGCAGAAAGACCTACTGTGAGTACTGCTATTTAGTCCTTTCTTTCATGTCTAGTGCCATTTTGTGCTGGTTAATTGCATGTTATTTCTACTTTTTACTTTTTTCCATCTCTAATTTTAAGTGGAAACTACCCTGTTTTTGTATTTACTTTGGAACCATCTTTAAAAAAATATATATATATAGGTATTGGTGGATCTGATGAAGTTGCATTTGGCTGAAGTATAAGCTTAATATAACTAAGCTGTATACTGCACTATTGATTGTGTGTGTGTGTGTGTGTGTGTTGTGTGCATGTATGTCCTACCTGCCTGCTTATGAGCTATTATGTTCATGTCTCTATAAATCGAACGGGATCATCATTTTATCTCTGGGGTCATTGATTTTCCTCTGTCACTAATCGTATAATCATTAAGGCTTGCATCTCTGTTGTGAGAAGATAAGGTGCCTACATGAACAGCTGGCAGCAACTCTCACGTCGAGTCAATAAGGTGTGGGGCTAACTGAAAATTGCACTGCAACAATCCTTTCCTGAGGTGGAGAAAACATATTAGCATTGTCACTATCACATCAACTGGCTTTGACTTGATTTAGATTACTGAAATGAGATGAGGCTTTTAGACCTCGCTAATGCTGCATATTAATCATAGTGTGAAATAGGTGAAGCAAATTTTAGAGGGGAAGGTATAACAGCGATGACAATTATGACATAATTAAGTCTACATGACTGGATTACCAAAAACTGTTTTTGTTTCGTTTTAGTGTAAAGTCACAGTTACACTAGACCTTGTGTTCAATTAATTTGCATTTATACACATACGAACAGAGAAGAGCGGAAACACAAGCACATGTGAGAGGTTTTGTTTAGTCTTGTCACACTATTGAGTGAACAGGATATTTTGTCGCGCACTAGGTCACATGTTTTTTGTTTGTCACAAATAATACATTTCAAATGTCAAAATATACCATCTATTCCACTTTCTTGCAAACCTTCAGCTTTGATGGTTTTAATCTTTAAGTTCAGCCATTCAGCCTTGAATTTAAATGTTTATGAATGGAAGTCAATGAAGCTTGATGGATTTCACATATTGACCTTCTGGCTCAATACAAATTTCATAGCTGCAATGCTGCATGCTTTGCATTGTTGCTGGAAAGTGTAGTAGATCGATATAATTTATTAAAACAGATTCCCTATAGTGTCCCCATATCCATATTTGTTCTTAATTTACTTGGCTTAAAGGGATAGTTCACTCAAAAATGAAAATTGTATCATCATTTACTCACATGTCATTCCATATTATCTTCTGTGGAACATAAAATATATTTTGAGATTTTTGTTTTTTGGTCAATAGAATGGTAGTATTTGGTCAATAAAGTCAGTTAGTTTGGTTATACCAACAAAATATATTCTTTTTTGTTCAGCTGAAGAAAGAAAATCATACAGATTTAGGGTGAGTAAATTATGACAGAATTTTTACTCTGGAGGGAAGTATCTAAGTTGAACCTAAATTGATAAATGATGCATGTTATTAATTGTAATAAACCTATTTTCCCTCTTAATACAGCAATACCAGTTTATCAGCAGTTAGTATGAAACAGTGGTGCTTAAGAAATGAATGACTCTCTAGGCCTACCATTTAACATTTTTAGTTTCCTAGGAAATTGTCAAAGATCCACTTGGTACAGGTACTGTAGGTATCTTGGTTAACATTCTAACAAGTTCTCCTTTAAACTTTAATGGAATTTAAGCACATTCCCAGCGGTAGTGAACCATGTTTAATGAGCATCTTCAGAGGTTGTTTTTGTGCGTCGCGGGGGGTAAAGCAGGGCTGTCAGGAAATAATTTCCTGCTCATTCGCTGCAGGGTTAGATCAGGGTATTCAGACAACAAGTGTTTAATGCAGCAAGTGACCTGAAGATGTTTTTTTTTCAGCATCATTTCTTTGAAATTGATAAGGTTCATTACTAAGAGCAAATGATTGAAAGCACCCTGGTCTAGCTGACATCCATTTCAACCCACTTTTTTTCTGTGCTGTGGGCTAGTGTGGTCACTGTTTGCGAAATTTTGAAACATCAGCATGCATGTTTTAAAGACTTTGATTTTATGGATGTCACAAACTAAAATGCTGCTTTTTTTTTATGGCAGCCTGTTTTGAAGGTATTGTGTTCATGATCTTTTGCAGCTTGGGATTTTGTAGGTTGGCCTGTTTTACTTCGACCTGGTACTGATTGGGTCTCTTTGGTGGGCTTGTAGTAGTTTGAAAGCTGTAGCAAAGGTTGGGCATTTTCTGTTTATTTTTTACAAGTGACTGCAGGTGGAGCAGTCATCTTCTTAGAACTTCCATGGCACAGGAGAGTGGATAAAAAGCCCATGACCAGAAGCTGCACGATCATGTTAGGACTGAATTGTTGTTGTTTTGCATTTCTGCTTTTCCATAGGAGTGGAAAAAAATTAATTAATTTGATTCATTTTAAAAAGTCCTTAATTAATTTGCTTTATGGTGTATCTGGGGCTGTATGTCAGAAGTGAGTTAGTGAATATTTCTCAGGTCAGACCAGCCTTGAGCCTCAACTAATAAGGAGGATGTTGCAGATGTAACAGCCAACGTGGCTATATGTAACTGTGCCACTCCAAATTTAATGGGTTGGAGATCATGACTACCACCATGAAAAAGGAGACCTAAAGTAAATTAGATGCATTGGGAGAAGACTGTGGTAACACAATCTCTTGATCCTTATATCAAAATAATATAACAAAAATGATTTTACAACAAAAGAACCATTTACTAAGAGCAGATGGGAGCAACAAATTATCAAAATAAATGAACTGATTGAATCCAGTGGTATTCTGGCTGTAGGGTTACAGTAGATTTTCTATTGTTTTTGAAAGTCTCTTATGCTCACCAAGGCTGCATTTATTTGAAAAAAAAATACAGTAAAAACAGTAATATTGTGCAATATTACAATTTAAAATAACTGTTTTCCATTTCAATGTTTTAAAGGTTACACTTTGCGCATTGTACTTACTCATATAAGTACTGAGTAATATTAATTAACTACATGTAGTTAGGGTTTGGTTAGGGTTAGTTACTTGTAATTATGCATATTTACTGTTATTACTATATTAAGTACATATAGTAACGTGTAACTGTGCCACCTTAAAATAAAGTGTTACCTTTTTAAAATGTAATTTTAAAAAGCGCTGATGTTGGCAAAGCTCCATTTTTAGCCAATACTAAAAATAAATAAAAACATTTATTTGAAATAGTTATAAAAGTCTGTACTGTCACTTTTGAACAATTACATGCATCCTTGCTGAATAAAATAATTCATTTCTTTGACCCCAAACTTGTAAACGGTATTAAATGAAAAGGAAATATCAGTAAGCAAAAACAAAAACATGCATGTTGCTTTACCGTAGTAGTCCAGGTTAGCAGAATTATACAGTTTATGTTCAGAATTGGGACTGGTGTTTTGACATGTATTTTGATTTCGTTTATGGCTCCTCTCAAGGTATGAACAAAAAAACGCCTCAGAGTCAGTACCTTATGGCGCTTTTCCACTGCATGGAACGGTACGGCACGCTTTGGCGCTTTTCCACTGCATGGAACGGTACGGTTCGGTTCGGTACGGCACGCTTTGGCGCTTTTCCACTGCATGGAACGGTACGGCTCGGTTCGGTACGGCTCACTTATGACGCATTTCCACTGCATGGTCCGGTACGGTACGGCTCGCTTTAAATGGTACCTGATCTGTTATTGAGGTTCCAAGCGTACCGTACCCAGAGCCATGTGAGAGTGAGAGTTGCGACAACTCCATTGACTCCAATGGAACGGTTTTTTACAGCAATGGCGGCTCGCGGAGCCTCTCAATAGTTCCCGGAAGTAGCAGCAGCGCGGCAGAGTTAGAGCAGAACAGACCGTTTGTGATGCACTTTTAAAAGGTAAGACGTTTAAAGAATAAGATTGTATATTATCAGTACATCTGAATCCAATTAACTTGTAAGTTTAACTGTATTAAAGCATGCTAGTTGATTATTGCTCTCTAAATTAGTAGTTTTAGGGGACGTTATCAGGTAAAATAAAGGTCATTGGATAAAGTTAGTACCGCATAACAAACCACGAACAGCATATTAATGTTTAAACCCGTTCTATTAATGCATGTTTATCCTTTGTTGTGTAATAAGAGGGAAATACTTCTAAACAGAGGTTAAATATAACATTGGGGAGTGTGATAGTTGTAATTGATAAAATGAGAATATCGGTTTCAATCCATATTAAATGTGCAATAACAGGGAAAAATCCTTATTTTAGATTTCATATTTGAGTAAGGAAAAACGTATGGTTGGCGTTTTTTATTCATTGTGTTTCTGTTGACTATTACCTGTCTATATTATGATTTAGCTCAGCTGATTTGTATTGATAGGAAAGGGAGATGGAAGTTTATAAGTAAGATTAAAAACATGCTTAAAACGGCAGCAAGCCGTGTTCTAGATCAAATCACACTAGGCTAAATGGGGTATTATAAATACCATAACTGTATTATATACTAACTCCTATATATAATTTATCCCGTTTTTGTTTCCTTTATCTCTTTCAACACAAGAAGCACAAAGAGGATTCGGTGGATCCTGAAGACTCCTGCACGGACGCTGTACCCTCATCAGTCTCAGCTCCTTGGATTTTGCAAGACTTTACTTGCTCCCTATTTTTAATAAACATTAAACTTCCCAGTGTTGGTCTTTGTGGAAAAAGTGCAGATACACCTAAGTATGATTAGCACACAAGTTCTATTTAGATTGCTCCTGACTTGAGCATATTTTCTGTGTCTGACAACATAGAGGAAAGGCCAGACAACATGCTTGACGTGCAGTTTATTAGACATTTATAAATCCCATTGTGCTAATTCAGTGCAAAAGTGTATATATAGGTCATTGACAAATAAACAAAGTCTAAAATCTTTTCAAAACTGATGTAATGTATATTTTTGTGTCATGAACAATGTATTTGAACAATTTTCA